AACGACGGGTTGGTGGTCATCGTTACCCAGGTCGCCGCGGGCTCCCCACCATTTACGCGTGTCGTTAAGGGCTCGGGATGTGTCGCGGCACTGCTGGGTGACATGGCGGTTGTCGGGGTCTACTTCTCCCCCAACCGACCCGTCGTGGAATTCGAGGAGTTCCTGGACCAGGTGACGGAGTTGTCTCGAACCCTCCAGGCCAGGAACCTGGTCATCGCGGGGGATCTAAATGCGAAGTCACATATGTGGGGCTCGTCAATAACGGACGCTCGGGGCAGGTTGGTGGAAGAGTGGGCTATCACCACTAACTTGACGGTCCTTAACCGGGGGACGGCAAACACGTGCGTGCGATGGCAGGGCGGGTCCATCGTGGACGTTACGTTCGCGAGCCCTGCCTTAGCTCGCCGTGTCTATGGCTGGCGAGTGCTGGATGATGTGGAGACGCTCTCGGACCACCGTTACATCAGATATGAGATCTCCACTCATTCGGCGGTGCCGCCAAGCCATAGCCGAACCCCGAGGGAGGAGGGTCCGCGGTGGCAGTTGAAGCGCCTCAACCCGGAGGTGCTGAAAGAGGCGGCAATTATAGCCGCTTGGCTGCCTCATGATATAACATCTCCGGAGGAAACAGCAAGGTGGATTGAGGAGCTGGCAAAGCGCATCTGCGATGCTGCAATGCCTCGTTCCGGGCGTCGCCCTCCTAAGCAGCAAGTGTGGTGGTGGACGGCAGAAATCGCGCAACTGCGCGAGGACTGCGTCGTTGCCAGACGCCTGTTCTCGCACTACCGAAGGAGGGTGCATCGAGATCGAGCAGAGGAAGACCGTAGGTATGCGAGCTACGTGGAGGTGAAGGCGAGCTTGCAAGCTCAGATTGCCAGGGCCATAGCTGAGGGGAGGGCCGCAATGTTGGAGGGGCTCAATGACGATCCCTGGGGCACACCCTATAGATTGGTCATGAACAAGCTCCGCCCCTGGGCCCCTCCAATCACCGAGTCACTCGATGGGGAAGTGTTACGAAGTGTGTTGGAGAATCTTTTTCCACACCGACATAACTTTGTGCCGCCGCAGATGGCTCCGAGTGCAACGGCTGAGGAGGCTGAAGGGCAGGAGGAAGTGCCAGAAGTCAATGAGGAGGAGATGGCAGCTGCAGTAGCGCGCCTGCGGAAAAAATCGGTCGCCCCCGGGCTGGATGGGATACCGGGTCGCGCTCTAGTCCTGGCGATGGACGCTTTAGGGCCTTGTGTGAGGGGACTATTCACTGCCTGTCTGGCTCAAGCCACAATTCCACAGAGGTGGAAGACAGGCAGGCTAGTCCTCCTCAGAAAGGAAGGGCGTCCAGCGGAGTCTCCCTCCGGTTACCGCCCCATCGTGCTTTTGAGTGAGATGGCTAAGTTGTTCGAGCGCATCGTGGTAGAACGCCTAATCAAGCACATGGCGGAGGTCGGGCCAGATCTATCGGACACGCAGTTTGGCTTCCGCGGTGGTCGCTCAACCGTGGATGCCATCCTGTGGGTGAAGTCCCGCGCGCAGGATGCGGTCTCCCGGGGTGAAGTAGTTTTTGCGGTGTCCTTGGACATCGCAAACGCCTTTAACTCTTTGCCCTGGGTTTGCATCAGGGAAGCACTCCGCCACCACGGGGTGCCCACCTACCTGCGCCGCGTTATTAAGGCTTACCTTTCCGATAGATCGGTGGTCTTTCCTGAGCGGGACGGCTGGGGAAGACGCGAGGTGTCGTGCGGTGTTCCACAGGGCTCGGTGCTCGGGCCGCTCCTGTGGAACATCGGTTACGACTGGGTGTTGAGGGGTAGCACGCTAAGGGGAGTGAGCGTAGTGTGTTACGCGGACGACACCCTAGTCTTGGCGCGGGCGAAGAGCCACAGAGAGGCGGCGATACTGGCGACGGCGGGAGTGGCCCACATAGTCAGTAGGATACGGAGGTTGGGATTGGAGGTTGCTCTCGGGAAATCGGAGGCGATTTGTTTCCATGGCCCTAGAAGAGCACCTCCACCCGACACCCACATCACGGTCGGCGGAGTCCGCATCGGTTTGTCGAGCACGATGAAGTACCTGGGACTCGTGCTCGACGGCCGGTGGAACTTTCGGGCCCACTTCAAAGCCCTTGCACCGAAATTGACGAAGACGGCGGGTGCACTCGGCAGGTTGTTGCCGAACGTCAGTGGACCCAATTGCGCCAGCAGACGCCTGTATCTTGGAGTCCTGCGGTCCATGGCGCTATACGGTGCCCCGGTATGGGCAGATGCTCTCTGTCGCGAGAAGGTGGCTGTCTTACGGCAGTCGCAGCGAGTTATGGCGACGAGAGCTATAAGGGGTTACCGGACCATCTCGGCAGATGCGGCGTGCGTGCTCGCGGGAGTAACACCCTGGGACCTGGATGCGCTTTCCTTGGCGTCGACCTATTGTCGGCGTCGAGGCCTTGCGTCCGGGGACCTCAGCCTAGCACAGCACGAGAACGAAGAGCGGGATGCCGCAATTGACGAGTGGCTCGCAAGGTTGGAGCACGCATCGGCTGGCCGGAGAACTATTGACGCAGTTCGCCCCGTCCTCAGGCAGTGGCTGGCGAGACGTCACGGCGTCCTCACCTTCCGGCTGACGCAGGTCCTCACGGGGCACGGGTGCTTCGGCGGATACCTGTGCCGCGTCGCCGGAAGAGAGCCGGATCCACGCTGCCACCACTGCCACGGCTGCGTTGACGAGTCGGCCCAGCACGTACTAGAAGAGTGCCCAGCCTGGGAATCGGAGCGTGAGGAGCTCCGAAGTGTTGTGGGGGCTGACCTGACGTTGCCGGCTGTGGTCTCCGCCATGGTCGGTAGCGAAAGGTCATGGGCTGCCGTCCTATCCTTCTGCGAGGACGTGATGTCGCGGAAGGAGGCGGCGGAGAGAGAAAGGGAGGCGACTTCCGATCTCGCTATCCGCCGCAGAAGGACCGGGCGCCGGAGAGCGGCCCACGATCGCCGCCTCCCCCCCTAACACCAGCCAGAGGGCGGTAGACTTGGGGAAGTCTGCCGCCTAATCACCTGGCCCGAGTAGGCGCGCGCGGTGTCCCCCGCGCGCTACTCCAGACGTCGTCGTTGAGGGCGCTGCTCCCGCCCTCCGACACCGAGACGTACCGAAAGGCAATCGCCGTCGGGGTTCGCGGATGATTCTTTAGTTCCCGTGGCCCCGACCAGGAGGCGAATGAGGCGGACACAGTCAGGTTTTAGTGGGTAGGCTGCCGTGCGTTTACCACCTTTTGCGCGGCAGGAGCCCCACATAACCCGTCGTTCTTCCCCAGGCGGCGGGTACCCGGCAACAGGGTTTCCTGACTTAAAAAAAAAAAAAAAAAAAAAAAAAAAAAAAAAAAAAAAAGGTCTGCCGAAGCAGACCACAACAACCACGGGGTTGCTCCACAGTCCACTCTGCTATCAGAGAAGTACCAGGAGCAACCCGCATGGTACACTGCCCTCCGAAGAGGGCCACCTCTCACCACCCACCGAAGTGGGCCACCTCCCTGTGTGTTTCTTGGCTTCGCGCCTGGTTGGGTTGCCGGGCACTACTGAGCCCCCCCACCACGACAAGGTGAACGCACGTTGGGGGGGGGGGGTCTGGGACGAACCTGAGCGAAGCGAGGGTGAGTCGCTAGTAGTACATTATATAATATGTATGTTACATGATATTACTTATTGATTACCTATTTTTGGGTGATGGTCAATTTCCATCTCAGGATTTTCTGGTCACGAAATGGGATCTCGTCATTTTTATTTCGTAAAAGTTTCAAAAAACAAAGCAAGGGTGCATCATAAAATCGTGTTGCTTTGAACTGCAATGAAAATTGAAACTTAAATTTTTATTTTTTTCTTACTCTACAGGCATTCTGTACAGGCATTTATTTTTTAAATACCTATCTTTTAATATAACTTCCGGTCTGAGCACAACAAACCGCTGCCTTGTTAAAAATGAATGAGTTTTAAGTTACAGAATGGATATATTGAAAAATATAGTATTGGTAGTTTGAATTTTTACTAGAGCCTTCGTGTAACTAAAGTTATTCGGCAAAAACAAAGCACATTGCGTTCTCTGCTTTAAAAATACTGCTGCCACATAGTTAAAATATTTTTATTCTATTTGATTCTTCGATTCGATTCTTCTTAACTCCACTTTATCAACATATTTTTTTCTTTTCTTTTTTTTCTACGGTTCTTAATAATATAACCAAATCTTATATCCATTATAATGGCTTCCCAGAAGACTCTACTATCTTTATTAAATGTTATGCAACGACCGACTTCTTATTTAAAATTAAACTTCCAGATTGACTGGTAGAAAACTTAAAGTGTAAAATAATGCCAAGTCCACATTTAGACATTTTTTTATATATTATGCAATAAACGTTTAAAAAAACCTTTAATTTGATTGCATAAAGTATGTATGTTTTAAACATTTAATAGTACCTACCTACTAAAAATAATTAAGCTTTATCGAAATTCAACATTTATTAAGTTGATTTTTAAATAAAATTTATCTTTTATCACTTTAATGTCCCTAAATTACGTTTATGAGTCCCTCGATTTACTACGCTGTAGAGTGTGGAGTACAAGTAAAATTATGTCCTTACAATAACATCATGGTTCATTGAACTGTTTATATTGGACGTAAATATTACTTTGTTGTGAAATAAGATGCTTGTGAACGCTATTATTATTAATTATTTTACATTGAAGACAGCTCTTAATAGTATTTACTTCACCAAAAGTTCGACATCATATAAAGCTTTTTATAACGACCAGCAAATGTCAGTTCAATAACAAAAGGAGAAAAAGCTCTGTTATCTTTCAACCTAATGTAGAGCGACGGTATAAAATATTATAAAGGCGCAAGATCAAGTAGCTAAAGCATTTTGCAAAGTGACTCCTTGTGGGTCGCACATCCTCGCTACGTACACGGACGATAAAACCAACTTTTTTGTTATTATAAGTGAATGTATTTCTATTTGATTACGTAAAATGAAACAAATATTAACATTAAATTGTGGAATTCTTTTTCTGAACATATTAGTTGTAGCGTTCAGCATTACTTCTGGGGAAGAGATTCGCCCAGAATTTTCAGCAGAAAATGGAGCTTATTACACCGACGATGCCGTTTTTATTACAGGTGAGTCTTACATACTAATTGTTATAAATATTAATCAACGCTTGGAAAAATTATGGCCAAGCGTTTTACGACATACTACGTATATATATATAAAAATTTTTTTACAATATAGTATGTATAAATTGTTTCATTGCAGTTCTTCTTTAAAATTTTATATTTCACTCAAATTAAAACATAAATTCGAATAACGTTTAAAACAATGGATAGCATACTTCCTGTAAGGTTTTGAGGCTAGAGAAAGTTAAAATTTAGCGCCAACTATGTCCGTTAACAGCGACAGTGCGGTACGAAATTAGAAATTGTTTTAATAGTTTTCTAAATTATATAGCTTTTAAATTTTAAATGTACGTGCAAAAAAAACTTGTGTTATACTTAAAATTATTTGGTTTATTATTCGGAAGACCTGCGGTGTCGATTGAATGTAAATGCGTCTACGCCCACGCACTCGACAAAATCAATCACTCATTGTACTCAAGCCATTGGTTCTAAGAGCGCCCGTTTGTTACATTTTTTGTGGACTATTTCGATAGCATTAATTAGAACTAGTGATGTACATTGTGACGCTGTTGACATTTCCATGGCATCGGGCTGCTCAACCCGGAATAATAATAAATTGTCTTCACTGCCAATTTAATATGATTACGAGCGACATTTTTAAATGCTAAGCCAACAATAATCTTAACAGAGATAGTCAAATGTAATACAGTGGCCTTTATAAATCAATATAATAGAGTCCGTAGTAATAATAACTATATTAAATCTGCATACGTTTGAGTAATGGAAGTACCAACTAGTGTGTCACTTTTAAATACATTTGAGATGTTACACATTTTTTCTTAATATTTAGAATAATCTACCGTTATATTGAATATGTTTAAAAATACTGTAAAGTAAACAGAGGAAAGCTCATAGAAATAAATACAGCAATATAAAAATATATTTAGAAATTACTAGCAGAACCCGCGGCTTCGCTCGCGCTAAAACTACAACAAAATCTCTAAAAAGATAGTTTCATACAAACTTTCATTCCCTATTTATCCCCTTATAGGATGAATTCCGAAAAATGCTAAAACACGTATTTAATTTTATTGAAGAACATTAATACCGAGTTTCAAGTAATTCTGATAATATATATTTTTTTGAATTGTATTATAACGTTTTTTTCCCGTGGGAATTAGATAATTTTCCGCGGTAAAAAGTAGCCTATGTCACTCTTCAGTCCTCTAACTAACTCCACACAAAAGATCACGCCAATCCGTCACTCCGTTTTGCCGTGAAAGAAGGACAAATAAACAAACAAACACACTTTCACGTTTACAATATTAAAGTATGGGTTACATATATTTTTGACTTTTGCTTATTTATATATATTTTTTTCCATTTACTATACTCAATATATAATAAAAGTTATAAATATAATATTATTAGCTACAATTAGGTAATATTAGCTATTATTTCATAAAAATATCATGCTCTATATAATTTTATCTTAAGTTACCCACATTTATAACATAAAACTAAATGTTACAAAAAATTAAGCTTAATTACAAAATATTTTTATTCCGACCTGTATTTTCTTATATTTATGTATTTATTGATAAGTCTCCTGACATCTTCAAGGTCAGCTATTTACACAGAATATTTCATTAGTGGTCTTTTTATACTTACCAACTTTATTCTATAAAAAGTCAAGTCAACATGACAGTGTGTATCGACAACACACATGTGTGAGGAATTTATTAAAAAATATTATAATATTACCTAAAAGATACTAGGTATATATTCCCAAGGTACTTTCTAAATTGTTTAAAGTAAAAATTAAATGGGCTATTTTGATCCAAATAAATAAATAAATTAACATTTTTTAATCTACACGAAAAAAATATATTTATCTACTAAATATGTTATTAATATTCAAGCTTACTGTTCAAACCATTAAAATGAAATCAAATTCCAGTACGCTGATACTAATCGAACACCGTTATGTACCTACCGACACAAAATAACATGTTTGCACGTTGGTATTGATGCTTTTTCAACGCTAACTGAATAATCAATTAAGCAGTTATTACTCACTACGCCTATATAATAAGGAAAATAACAAATAAAAAAATAAAAATAAATAATTTTTAACAATCTTTACCGACAGTGGGTGCCGATGGTACATAATCTAGATAAAATCGAACCGTAACATTTAATTCAAGTTTTAATATACTTAAACAATTTAAGTATATATTGTACATACGTTTGACGGTTTGTATGAAATACAAATCTTTGAATTTATCGCCCTTTCTGTACTATAATATGTATGTATTATACATATAAACCTTTCTCTAGAATCACTCTATCTATTACAGAGAACCGCATTAAAATCCGTTGCGTAATTTTAAAGATCTAAACATACATAGGGACAGACAGACAGCGGGAAACGACTTTGTTTTATACTATGTAGTGATGAAAGATATCAAAGATACCTTGAAGAAGATTTATTGCAAGGTATACAATAAATCTTTTTCCTCGTTTCCTTTCTAATCTAATAAGTATCGCGACCTAAAACGTTGCAGTAAAAAATGATATTAAATCGGATCATAAGCCATTTTCACCTTGACATACGACTTACGAGTATCGTCCGAGTTTTATAAACCTAAAGGTTATCTTTGTATACCTACTTTGAATAATAAAAAACACTAAAAGAAGATGGGGAAGGATAAAAAAGACGAAAAGCAGTAAGAAAAAATAAGAAGAAACTTTAGCGCCAAAAGGTACTGACACACGCACGCCATTAAATTACTCGTATATATAATCGTTTTCAAAAACATTTAAATAGAATATAAATGCCTTACAAATATGTAGTTTTGCATCGAATGCGGTCTATCAATGTCTAGGTTGTAGTTGCGTTTTATCTTATTTATGAAAAAATGATTACCTAGGTAATTAATCGACGTTAAAAATCAAAAATTACTAATTAATTTTATTGTAATGTGATACAGCTTAAAGCTTTATATTTATGTACTACTAGCTAAACCCGCGGCTTCGCTCGCGCTAAAACTACAAAAAAATCTCTAAAAAGGTAGGTTACATACAAACGTTCATCCCCTATTTTGCCCTCTTATGGGATGAATTTCGAAAAATGCTGAAACACGTATTTATTTAAATGTATTGAAGAGCATTAACACCAAGTTTCAAATAATTTTGATCATAAATTTTTTTTAAGTTGCACTATAACGTGTTTTCCCGTGGGAATTAGATAATCTGCCGCAGTAAAAAGTAGCCAATGTCAATCTCCAGCCTTTCAACTATCTCCACACAAAAAAATCATGCCAATATATCACTCTGTTTCGACGTGAAAGAAATACAGACAAACAAACACACTTTACCATTTATAATATTAGTATGGATAGTCCTAAAATCAGCGTAAATTATGAATCCCTATGTGATCTACTCAAGTGGTTTGAAACGCTGAGTTTATTGTAAGAACACTCTTTTACCTTTACTAAAAAAAAACCCGAATTCGTTACCTTAAAATATGTATGTACATAATTTTAACACAACTCACAGGTAAAGAGACGATGAAATATATATAATATGCAAATTTCCGATCTTACTCACCAGTTTAAAAAAACTTTTAAAACAATCGTGGGCGAAGATCGGATTATGATTAGCTTCAAAATAATAAAGCTCCTTTAATAAAATATGCATGGAAAGTAGTAGGTACTTCTTACAGAGTAATACGTATGAGGAAAAATACACACACAACTTCGCGCTAAATCTTTTGCGGGATAAGCAGAGGGTACAAAACGCCAAGCGCCATGATCTCTACATAACTTTTTTACTTTTTAAATAAACATTTTAAATAAAACTATCTTTTCGGATTTTGTCGCGGATTTATTTGTATTTTTGTTTCCCGACGTTTCGAATGCTTTACAGCATCCATAGTCACGGGAGAGACTGAGGTGTTACATGTCTTAAAGATATAGTTGTTACAGACAGCCTACCCACAATTAACAAAATGAAAATTGCACCAATTACATTACAATATTTTAACTTTAAATATTTTTATAATTTTAATTATAATTGAATATGGAAAATTATTTATTTAATTTTTGCTATTATTTTTATAATTATTACAATTTTAAAAATATTAATTAACAATCTATATTTAGTGTTGCCATTATTATATTCATAACCATAAGAAAAATATAAAATATAGTATTAATTATTTAAGCCACAATTGATCTATGTGTAATTTGAAAAAGTTAAGATTAATTAAAAAATAATAATTTTAATTTAAATTTGCTATTATTTAAAAACAAATTATTAAGCAACACATTACTACATACATTTACAAATGAAAAAGTGAAAAAATATTATTAATCAGAAATGCTATCATTTTGATCTACACAGTAAGAACTTACTACATCTACCTGTCTGTTATGTTTAGATTTATTATTAGATTTTATTATATTAATAACAGGATCCCATGACGATGGTAGTACCCAGCCATCTTCCCTATTGAAATTAGGATGTTTTTTAATTTCTATGGCTTCTCGAATCATTCTAGGGCGATATCGGTTTTCTTTCGCCAGGATTTGAGGCCTATCGAAGCGAATATAATGGCTTGGGCGGTCCTGACTGTGTTTGCAGACAGCAGATGTTGTATTGCGACGGTGCTTCACATCAGCTATGTGTTCTTTGACCCGGGTTCTAATGGATCTCTTTGTTTGTCCGATGTAAGAGAGCCCACAATCACAATCAAGCTTGTAAACTCCTGCATCTTGTAGAGGGATGTGGCACTTGACAGGTGGTAGAAACTGACTAATTTTCTTTGGCGGCTTGAAGTAAGTTTTAATTGAAGCTCGCTTTAGAATGTAGCCAATCTTGTCAGTGACGCCTCTCATGTAAGGTAGGACTGCAGGGACGCGCTCGACTGTGGCTGGTTTCACTCGGTCCCTGTGACGTAGGCGCGGCACTTGCAGCTTGTTGTCTCGCAGAACTTGCTTGACATGTTGCAGTTCTCCGGCCAGGTGTTGCTCGTCACAGATCCCGCGTGCCCTCTGAAACAAAGATTTTCCCACGGTAGCTAACTGTGAAGGGGGGTGGTGAGATTCACCATTCAAGTACCTATCAGTATGGGTCTTCTTTCGATACACAGTATGACTCAAGGTGTTATCTGGGTTACGTATGACTAATACATCTAAGAAAGCTAAAGAATTATTAGACTCCAATTCCATTGTAAATTGTATTTTAGGGTTTATGGAGTTAAGATGTTCTAAGAATACAGATATTTTATCAGATGGTAATATTGTGAAAGTGTCATCTACATACCGCTTGTAGAAACGAGGGGTCACAGGTGATGTGTTTAGGGCGGTCTCCTCGAAGGCCTCCATGAAGATGTCTTTGTCGAACTTTTTTACTTTTTAATTAAAACTATCTTTCCGGTTTTTTTCGCGAATTTATTTTGATTTTTGGTTCCCGACGTTTCGAATGATTTACAGCAATCATGGTCACGGGAGAGACTAGCATTTCTGATTAATATTTTTCACTTTTTCATTTGTAAATGTATGTAGTAATGTGTTGCTTAATAATCTGTTTTTTAAATAATAGCAAATTTAAATTTAAATTATTATTTTTAATTAATCTTAACTTTTTCAAATTACACATAGATCAATTATGTGGCTTAAATAATGAATATATTATGATTTTTCTTTATAGTTATAAATATAATAATGGCAGCACTAAAAATGTAGATTACTAATTAATATTTGTTAAAATTGTAATAATTATAATAATAACAGCTCAAATTAAATGAATAATATAAATATTCCATATTCAATTATAAAACTAATTAAAATTATATAAAAATGTTTAAAGTTAAAATTTAAAATATTGTAAGGTACTTTGGTGCCATTTTTCAATTTTTTGAATTCATTTTGTTAATTGTGGGTAGGCTGTCTGTAACAACAATATAATACCTTATAGACATGTAGCACCTCAGTCTCTCCCGTGACCATGATTGCTGTATAGCATTCGAAAGGTCGGGAACCAAAATTCAAAATAAATTCGCGAAAAAATCCGAAAAGATAGTTTTATTTAAAATGTCAAGTATTCGCGTAAATCTAAGAAAGTATTACTTTTTTACTTCTTCTATAAAAAATTTTAATTAGTTGCTTATACAAATTATTTATTCCAATTTTTTAAGTATTTCAATAATATTTATTTAAAAAGTATTTTTACTAAAATTAACATTTAGTACTTTATGCACAGAACCGAAAGTGTTTTGAATGTCGAATTTCCGAAATTTCCCAACATACATACATAATATAATATAATTCTAACTAAGCCGAATCTGTACATTAAATATTTTTTGGAAAATCTTATTAATCTAGACATTATTTTCGATACAGAGGCCGAATCAATAGTTTTTAGAATTTTTGTCTGTCTGTCTGTATGTCTGTTACCGCATCACGAAAAACCACTGGAGAAATTTTGATGAACTTTGTTTGGTATGGTGATAGCTGGTTATCCGGGTCAACATATAAGATACTTTTTACCGCGGGAAAATATCTCATTTCTGAGAAAAAATACGAAACTGCAATGTAAGAGTATATTATAATATGTAAAACCTAAGAATTTGGTTTTTGGTCACCTGAACGCGGGCGGAGCCGCGGGCAATGCTAGTGTATCTATATATTTCAATTGGATCGAATGTGGATGTTGTAACTACCTTATTGGTCTTAGCAATCTTGTGCGGCTGTAATATATGGTTCATATCCCGGGATATGAACTAAAATAGTTTTTCTGGTGCGGCGTGTCTCTTGAACAGCCTTACACTCGTTGATCCTGCTCCTGGTCTTTCTCTGATCGTATGTAAGTCAGATTATTGTTTAACTCAGACAGACTTTGTCAGAGTAAATATTTGCGGACTCTTTTTAATTATTTTTAATTAATAATCAAATATATTGTAATGCTCATACAATGAGTTAATCATCAGTTGACAACGATAAATCGTTGAAAATTTTCAAAATTTCAAGATAATATGTACTTAATAAGTAATGATATTTATGAACGCACGTTGTACGTATGTAGTTACGATAATAAGTTACAAGTTAAAAAATAAATAAATTGTTACTTGTATTCAACACAAGTTTTTGTATAAAATATTAGTCTGCATCTAGAGACTCGATACTTATCGCTTGTGATCTCTTTTTCAATATAAAAAAGATACATACTTGCTTCCATTTAATTCTACAATAACAAAATTCTTCGTGGTGTAGTCTCGTGTAGTCTTATCTTTCGTGTTTGATTTTGCAAAATTAAATCTGTTTGCATGGTATTTGTATGTATGGGATCAATATTTTTTTTATTGAGGAATCAAATTAAAACTTTTTCGATTTTCTTACTATTACTATAAATCCTAAAATTATTTATACTAATATTTATTTATATTAATAATTCTAATATTATTAAAATTCAATTAATATATTTATATAAAAGACATAAGTGCTGAGGTATTTATTTTAATAAATTTTAAATATTCTTTTTAGTTAAGTATAAAACTAGAAAAATAAGGGAGTTCGATTACTTTTAAGATTGTGTGTTCTTACAAACTAGTTTTTTTAAACTAATTTACGTCCAACATAACTTATAGTACATAGGCCACTGATTACATAAATATACTATTAATACTAGTAATCCATACTTAATATTATAAATGTGAAAGTGTTTTTGTTTGTTTGTTTGTTTGTCCTTCTTTCACGTCAACCAGAGTGACGGATTGCCGTTATTTTTTGTGTGAAGATAGTTGGAGGGCTGGAGAGAGACATAGACTACTTTTTACCGCGGCAGATTATTTTATTCCCACGTGAAAACACGTTATAATACAAACCAAAAAAAAACTGATCAGAATAACTTGAAACTTGGTATTAATACTCTTCAGTACAAATTAATAAAAACGTGTTTTAGCATTTTTCGAAGTTCATCCTATAAGGATTTCATAACCTACTTTTTTAAAGATATGTTTGCAGTTTTAGCGCGAGCGAAGCCACGGGTTCTGCTAGTAAATATGCTAGTAAATATATATATATATATATATATATATATATATATATATATTTAAAGCACAACCGACTATGATAAATATAATTTCCTTTTTGATATATTATTTCAGTAAATACCGAGCGACTAAAGCGCGAATCAAACAGGACTCGAGATGGGAAACAGCTACTGTTACGACCTAGACAAGTGAGTTTATTTATATCTTTTAAGTAAGATGGCTTTGTTTTTATTCTAGTCGAAGTTCTTTTTAGCTAGACGCTAACTAGTTATTGATGAACTATATATTTCTGTCGAACAAATCTGTTCTATATAAAATGTATGTGTGTCTACAACGTATGTGCAAAAAAGCTAAACATCTATTTAGATGTTCTAAGCAAAACAATTTAACGTAAGCTTAATAATATTGAAAAGTTAAATCTAATATGTAATTTTCATTAGGCTGACGAAACAAATAATGGTCCAAATTGTGAAACAGCACTGGGTAAGAGAGGAACGTGTAAGAGTTATCGAGAATGTTACCCGCTTTTCAAAGTGTTTGGTTCCGAAGGATGGATCATGGGTCATTACGATACTTGCACTTACATAAGTAACGAGAAGGAGGTAAGCTATATGCATTTATAATTTATATCTTTCGATATCTAATTGAAACGATGACTTACGTTTGCTCTACTGAGGCGACTCTACATTTTGGTAAATAAATATTTTTAGTAATGCCTAAGCATATTATATATTTACAATTAAAATCCATATTAATTGTTACTATATCAAAATCTATATATGTCTATAAAAGAAAGTCGGGTTAGTTACACCATTTATACATATATTTCTATATGTCCTTTATTTATACATATAGGTACACTCAACAACGGCTGGACCGATTTTTATGACCTTTTATTTATTGGATTTGTTGTGTTTGTTGAAAGCAGAATAACTATTATAACATCGGAAAATACCAAAAAAATTTTTATGGCTAACGCTGACTAATAACTATTTATATCTATTTCAAATGTACTTAGGGACGCACCCGAGCAAGATGAGGGTATGTCACTAGTTTTTAAATATAAACGGCTATCTGTCCATAGTAATCGCTGTTATTTTTTAATCTAATCTATACATATAATAAAATTAAAACTAAGTCGAATCTGTACATTAAATATTTTTTGGAAAATCTTATTGAAATAAACATTATTATCGATACAGAGTCCGAATCTATAGTTTGTAGAATTTTTGCCTGTCTGTCTGTCTGTCTGTCTGTCTGTCTGTTACCGCATCACGGAAAAACCACTGGAGGGATTTTGATGAAATTTGGTATCATGATAGCTGGTTATCCGGGTCAACATATAGGATACTTTTTACCGCGGAAAAATATCTCATTTCTGAGGAAAAATACAAAAACAGCATTGTAAGAGTATACTAATATGTAAAACCTAAGAATTTGGTTTTTGGTCATCTGAACGCGGGCGGAGCCGCGAGCAATGCTAGTTAGTAGCTACATTTTATAACTTGCAAGGAATTGAATATAACTCAATGTCATGGAAATCTTTTATGTAATAATTTTTACATATTTTCCTGAAAAATACACCTGAAGCTACGTTATTTATATAATTATAGTACATATTACGATTTTAAATCGATTTTAATAATATTGTGTATCGCCTATATATCACTAACAATAAGATGTTTGTAACAAGTTCCACTGTATAGAGCTGTGGTAAAAAATGTGTATATAATTTTTCCCTTAATAACTCGTATCTGGTTTGCCTTGCGAGGATACTGAACCGGGCGGCTCCTAGGAAACTTTGCATAGCGCAATTTATATGACGTAGAAGTCAATAACAACAGGTGACATGACAAAAAGATAATATAGGCTCAAATGATAGTCCATAACAATGCCTAGGCTTTTGACAATTATAATTATACAGTAAAAATAATTTTAAGTAAACATTTTATTTCCTATAAATTACATAAAAATGTCTAAGATGTGGATCATCATAGGACATTGATATCTTAAAAAATATATGTAGTTAGTTTTTAACAATTGTATGGCATGTATGAATGTTTAAACTGGATGATTGATAATAATTATTGTTAATTCGTTGTTGTTATTAAATAAAACTATCTTTTCGGATTATTTCGCGGATTTATTTTGATTTTTGGTTCCCGACGTTTCGAATGCTTTACAGCCTCCATGGTCACGGGAGAGACTGAGGTGTTACATGTCTTAAAGATATAGTTGTTACAGACAGCCTACCCATAATCAACAAAATGAAAATTGCACCAATTACATTACAATATTTTAACTTTAAACATTTTTATAGTTTTAATTATAATTGAACTAGCATTGCCCGCGGCTCCGCCCGCGTTCAGATGACCAAAAACTAAATTCTTAGGTGTTACATATTAGTATACTCTTACATTGCAGTTTTTGTATTTTTCCTCAGAAATAAGATATTTTCCCGCGGTAAAAAGTATCCTAGGATCGCGCGCTACATCGCCCGGTTTATATAGCTTGAGCAGGCGGTCGAGCGATGCGGGGCAGAGGGGATGGACTCGCCGTAGGCATCTCAATGCTCGCCAAGCATTAAAAATGTTTCGCTACTAATTACTTCTAACAACGATATCTCAAAAACTATTCATCTGATTGATTTAGTGTAAAGAGCAATTTTAATCTGCATTAAATGACTAAGCTAACTAAAATATTCATTTGGATAAGGATTAATACCGAACTAAAGAAAATAACTTTGAAAATAACGTAATGTTTTTAATTAAAAATGTTAACATAAAAGTGGTTATTGTAAGTCAACCGTAAGAGATAGAGATATGCTATCGCGGACTTTTTTGTAGCATTTTTATAGATTTTGAATTCTCTAGTACATTACTTAACTGTATCTTTGCTAGTTTACGCGGCGTTCGCGTGGAAAGTTCCCATTTGGCGAGATTTTTTGCGACCTCTTCAACATTTGTCGCCGTATTTCAGCTAATTTACATAAAAGCATAATAAATTATATACCTAAACCTTCCTCAAGAATTACTCTTTCTATTGTTGAAAACCGTATAAAAATCCGTTCAGTAGTTTTCGAGTTTATCGCGTACAGACAGACAGGAGGACAGACAGGAGGACAGACAGGAGGACAGAAAGACGCGGCCGGGGGACTTATTTTTATAATAAGTATAGATATGGAAAATTATTTATTTAATTTTTGCTATTATTTTTATAATTATTACAATTTTAAAAATATTAATTAGTAATCTATATTTAGTGTTGCCATTATTATATTTATAACCATAAAGAAAAATATAAAATGATAAAAATATAAAGTATTCTATATTTATTTATAGTTTTTAAATAAATTACTGCATACAATCCTAAAGTAAATCCTAGAAATCAAGAAATCATCTATACTTACTATAATAAAGCAGTAAATTAGCGAAATCTTTAAATAGTATTGTCCACCTCCTAAGGTACACTCGCAATAGCTATTTTTATTATATACTAGCGACTCACCCTCGCTTCGCTCGGGTTCGTCCCTACTTACGTTTTAACGTTTAGTATCGATTTCTCAGAGATGAGATATTTTCTCGCTGTAAAAAGTATCCTAAATGTTGACCCAGATAACCAGCTATCACCATACCGAATTTCATCAAAATCCCTCCAGTGGTTTTTCCGTGATGCGGTAACAGACAGACAGACATACAGACAGACGGACAAAAATTCCAAAAACTATAGATTCGGTCTCTGTATCGATAATAATGTCTATTTCAATAAGATTTTTCAAAAAATATTTAATGTACAGAGTCGGCTCAGTTAGAATTTTATTATATGTATAGATTAACGGCAACGTCGCGACTCATTGACTGACTTATCAACATTTAGCCCAAGCCGATGATGATAGACTAGCACCACAATAAAAGCCAGCGTTATATATACAATACTAATATTAAATGCGAAAGTAACTCTGTCTGTCTGTCTGTCCATCACTTTTTCACGCTAAATCCGCTGAGCCGATTTTGATGAAATTTGATTTTGAAATAGTTTGAGACCCTGGGAATGACAGAATAGTTTTCATCCCGGCAAACACATCATATGTAAGTGGGTGCAAAAGGGGGGGTGGAAGATTGAATGGGAAATCAATTATTTCTAAAGTAAGGCAATGTATATTTGTATTATGTATTTTTATTTTTTGTGAGTATGTATGTTTGTTATTCTTTCATGCCAGAACGGCTGAACAGATCTGGATTAAGATTTGATAAAGAGATAGATAATAATCTGGAATAACACATACGCTACTTTTTATCCCCGAAAAATGTACGGTTCCCTTGGGATAGATTTGTTGGTGTTTTTCTAGATTGTATTGTATGTGATGTATTTTTGTAAATGTTATGATTATTAAAAAAATATAATTAGGTTAAGTAAGAATTTAACACTTATTTATAGGTGTTTGGCGTATGTTGTACCGAGCCGGTAGGCACGCCTCCACAGCAAGAGCCAGACGTTCAACGCCTCGGCTTGCTACGACCGTCGTTTCCGATGCCATTGACCAAGTTAGCATATTTTATTAAATTCCTTACTGGCACTCACAACAAGTTTTATACTTTAAATATTAACTATACGTAATAAGTAGTACATTTTTTTTTAATATTGGGGTTCCGCATCTAAACGTTTGTTTGTCTGTTATTATTTTTTTACATTTACAGAGCTATAAAATAATGGAGATGACAACAAATAAAAAGATTAAGGAAAAACTCTATACAAGACACTTATTAATTTTGTTTTTTTTTTTTTTAAAAAAAGGGAACTTGACTCTAACTTTAATGTTTAAAATACCGTGGAAAGTTTAAAAGTAAATGTAAAACAATTAAATATTTAATAAAAACTAGCCAAGTGTGTTTAAAACCAAGGACTGTCGTTTAAGGTTTCAAGTTTCGAGTACTTAGTATATTATACATACATATTATTTATAAGGACCTATTTCATTTACTTTATATTTTTTTATGACCTCAAATCCCTCGGTGCGAATCAGACTTGCGCTTCGCCAATTTTTTATTACCTATATAAATAGCTTTAAACTCGTACGTCGTGTCGTTATCTTACAATTTTTACTAATAATTTTTTTTACTAATACAATCTTTTACTTCGCAGCAAAAAACGTATTATTAAAGCATATTACTAATTCTAACATATATTCTTTTGGATTGAAAAGTAATTAAAATAAATAAATAGTAAAATTACTTATTTAAACACCCAGTCCTTTAGTAATTCTTAATGCGCCTATATAAAAACTTTTAGACTGTTTGGAGGTTGTCGACTAAATAGTAATATACTAAATCGAAGAGGGGCCAATAATTGAATTGAATATACATAAACTACAATAATAATTATATGAAGACATTATTTAATATGTATGTAAATAATAAATATGAACCCTTCGACTTTTTGTACTAAAAGCTTACAAAATATCATATATGTATCATTAATTTCTTTTAAACTACAATAATACTATATCTTCTGCCTAGAATACATATTGTGTTTAACATCAAAATTAATCATTCTCAAATAACAGTTTAGAAAGTTTCATCTCGTCTGGCTTATCACCACAATGGTACAACAATTTTTATCGGCAAGTGCCGGCGCAGTGGCCGCCAGCGCTGCCGCCTTTACCAACACACCCACCGAACCATGCCGCGCCAACTCACCCACCATCACTGAGTAAGTTTGAGTTTGAGTTCACTTGAGTTTGTTTATTCGTATATTGGACTTTTTGGCAGTTTCATTAATAACATGTTTTTTAATATTATTATTAGTATAATGTTGATTTTATTGTTAATACTTCCCGTGCTTCGTATTAATAACCTTATATTAAAAAAGCTAAAATATTTTCGTATTATACTTTTGATTGTTTTTAGTCGCAGGCATAACCAGCCCAAATCCAGTTGAAGGACCTTCACAAACGCCTCCTACGACGACTTGGGGAACAAAGCCTCCAGCCAGTACCACAAAACAGGTATATTTAACGTATAAACCTATATTAAAACTATTAATAAACATTCAAATCACAGACGACAATATTATGTACATTGTAAATACTCAATATCCATACAAAGAAATTGTACGGCTGTAATTATTTGGTATATTTTGTTTTACCTTAATAGGCAAGAGGTCGTGCTAACGTAATCCGAAATCTACTGAGCTATTTTATTCCTTAAAAATATATCTATGTCTATTTGTATAATTTAAATGTGATAGCAAGATTCAAATCGAACAAATATTGGTGACTATAACATATTTTTTTAGCCAGAACAAACAAATCATACCTAATTGCGTTTAGGCAGCGTAATCTGTAAAATTAAATACGGATTACAAAGTTATTAGCTTCTGGGTGAGCTTTCAATCATAAGTAGTAAAATTATGTTTTTTTTTTCATGTCCCTTTGCTTTTTATTAGAATATTATAACATTTTGGAATTTATTTTGCATGTTGTTTTATTAATTGTACATGAACTATAAATAACTCTTTATACATTCATCACTGATTTCAGTCACTTTATTATTTATGTAAAGATCTCACCTACACGGCAAACACTCTTTGGTAGTAAAGTGTTATTACGACTATTTCAATTAATTAAATTAATAGAATAGAATATAAAAATGTGAAAAAACATATTTAATTATAGACCTGGCCTCCAGTGCTCCCAACGCAGCCAACCAAGCCTCCATCGCAACCAGGTACAGACTCTTCGTGCGGCATAAAGAACGGACCACAGGTAAATTGAACTTTTTAAATTTATAACTAAGTATATTGAATAAAATATTTCCGTAAATACTTAATATTTATCTATTTGACCAAATAAAGGATAACAATATAACTAAATCTCAAGTTCTACTCTACTACGATTTAATAGTTTTTTTCTTATAATATCCTCAGATTTCATTTTAACTATTTTTATTATTTAAGTGTCATTCAGAATAGGCACCGGTAATATGTTGAATTAAAGATTAGTTAGTAATTTAATGTGAAAAAGCAGATGCACCTCTGGAAATAATTCTGCCACCGCCCATGTCATTCAGTCACTCCTAATAAATATACACAGGCTACGAAGTTATACCACGAAATTATCTTTACCGCGGATTGACTCTCACACTTGCCACTTTCTAATATTCGACGGCTTTAGCGCCCGTTTTGTCTTACAAAATCTGTCTTTAAAACAACCATTATAATAAGAATTAGATATCCAAATCAAAACAGATATCAAATCTATAACAAATTGACAATCTCATGCATCTATTCTCTCATACATATTTATATATGTACGTATTTAAGTTATATATGTGTAGTGTATCAACTATCTGGTGTCCATAACATAAGCCTCGTAGCTTACCATGGAACTAGATGGTGCTGTGTGTTAACGTCCCAACATATTTATTTATTTTATTTTATCCAGACATACGGCAGCGCATACGAGTCTAAGGACGAGGAGCGCATAGTGGGCGGCCACAACGCGGAGCTCAACGAGTGGCCGTGGATCGTGGCGCTGTTCAACAACGGCCGCCAGTTCTGCGGCGGCTCGCTCGTGGACGCCTCGCACGTCGTGTCCGCCGCGCACTGCGTGGCGCAGTACGTATTATTGCCATTGCCGCCCACTTCGCAACAGATTATGCGATGTCTTCCTTTTCTAGCTTTACATTTTATTCATTGCCTGGCTTTACTTTAATAAATCAACTCAGGGAACGGGATAAAAAATTTCTATGCATATAATAAAATTGTAACTAAGTCAAATCTGTACATTGGATAATTTTTTTGGACAATTTTATTGAAATAGCCATTATTATCGATACAGAGCTCAAATCTAGTTTTTAAAAATTTAAACCTGTCTGTCTATGTAAGACCGTATCGTCATCGATATCGGTTCAGTAGTTTTTGCGTGAAACTAACAAACATCAATCCATCCAATACCCATCCATCCACCCTCACAAGCTTTTGTGTTTATAATACTTATTACTTATTAGTAGAATTAGTATAGAAGTATAGATAGGTATACTATAGATGTTACTATATGTTCCTGGCCCAAATGGCTAATTACATTCTGCTTACAAAATATACGTCAGTTGTAGCTTGTAGCACCACACAATTCACACTATAGACTCGCGACGCATGCGCATAACGGTCTGCGTAGTAAGAAAAAGGATATAGAAGCAGTCGCTTGTCGTATCACTCCTTCCGTTTCTACTAGAATATCTCATCATCTAGATGATTAAAGTTCATTTTCACTATTCAAGCATAATAACTTAAAAATATTTATAAAATTACCTGTGAATTTATATGAAATGTTAAACTAAATATTTTATTTTAGCATGACATCGTGGGATGTAGCGCGTCTAACAGCGCGGCTCGGTGACCACAATATCCGCACCAACTCGGAGACGCAGCACGTGGAGAGGAAGATCAAGCGGGTGGTGCGACATCGCAACTTCGATATGCGCACTTTGGTAACTTTTGAGTGCATGCTTCCACACAGCGGTTAAAAATTTTAGATAACATTACATACATTTTTAACACGAAAACTTGTTTTAACATTCAGTAACATGTTAACTATTATTAAATGTTTTTAGAGCTTCCACACTGACAAAACATCTTATAGAAAATTTTATAACTGAATGGTTTGTAGAATTACAAACCCCGTTTTTGCCCAGTTTTAATGTTTTCTAAGATCTAACAAAAGTTACGAATTGTTATATTTTGTTTTAAATTGTTTTATTAGCAAATGTTAGAAAAGATTTAATGAAAAGAAATATTTACTAACATTTATTAAATCCTGTGTGTGGAATGCACCTTAATAAAGGTACCATGAAAATTTGTATAACAACAAAAACAATACAATTAAAAATATTTTCGTCTACTAGTTGATGTGTATGTGTGTGTGTGTGAAAATATTTGATAAATTTTTTTTCAGTACAATGACGTCGCAGTCCTAACGCTAGACCAGCCTGTGCCCTTCTCCAAGAACATCCGTCCCGTGTGCTTGCCGGCCGGCGGCCGCGCCTACGCCGGCCTCATGGGCACCGTCATTGGATGGGGAAGCTTGCGAGAGAGTAAGTATCTAAATAAGTATTATCGGTTCACAACACCGGAAAATATTGCTCCTTACAATATAGTAACATTAAAGTAAAAATACAATTTTAGTTTTGTCGTGGATGTCTTGATATAAATAGACGGTTGGTTAATCATAATTCTTAAAACGACTCCATTTATACTCTCAACTTGATTTATTCGTTAACAAATATGAGAAAAAATGAAATGAATCATCAATGTGCTTAGAAATCATAGGTAAAGTATGCTTTGATAAGCGATTTAAAAAAAATATTGTTATCACAGCCGGTCCTCAGCCTTCCATTTTACAAGAAGTGTCCATCCCGATTTGGACCAACGCGGAGTGCAGGCTGAAGTACGGGTCGGCGGCGCCGGGCGGCATCGTCGACCACATGCTCTGCGCGGGGAAAGCCAGCATGGACTCATGCAGTGTAAGTATCGAGTTCTCTCATATTTACACTTTTACTTCTCTATCAGTTTAAATTTCGATAATCATTAACGTTTTGAAGTTTTCTCTTATTAATCTTTTACAAAGCTATTATAAATATAAACACCCATGATTGGAGTACAAACGTTCGTGCTCGTCACACAAATGAATGCCCCCAGCGGGACTCGAACCCGCGACCGCTGGACCAGCAAGTAGGGTCACTACAAACTGAACCAAACGTGTCGTCAAATATATCGTATAGTAATAAATAATGATTGTGTGGCTTTATTTTTCTATCAGGGCGACAGCGGTGGACCGCTGATGGTGAACGAGGGCGGGCGCTGGACGCAGGTGGGCATCGTGTCGTGGGGCATCGGCTGCGGCAAGGGCCAGTACCCCGGCGTCTACACCCGCGTCACCTCCTTCTTGCCTTGGATTCAGAAAAACTCCAAATAAACCATACACCAATTCAATTCTTTTGAGAAAAACAACCCAGCTCTTGTCTTTCTCAATAAATTGATCGCCATTATTTGTGCCTTAAATATAAATAATAAACGGTAATGTGAAATATGCTCTTTATTTTAATTGTTATGTGGCGTTGGATTACTAACAAATTTCACGGTCTTTGAATACACAAAGATATAATATGAATATTTAGTACATAATTCCTTAAGATTTAAGATTATATTAAATTAAACTAAGTATAATGTATGTATAATAATAATATCACACAGAATTGACTAATATAAAATCACTAAATGCCGATAGATCAAATGTCGAAGTTAGACACATGTAGATGCTGCAAGATGTTACGAGCTGAAAAAGATAATAAAAAACTAATTAATATTATTTATATTTTACCTATTAGTAACTAATAACTATCTATACTTTCATAGATTGATTCCTCATACAAAATTTCATCCCCGTTTTCACCCCCTTAAGGGATAATTTCTGGGATAAAAACTATCTTATGTAATGCCAGGGTCTCAAACTATCTTTTTACCAAATTTCATCTAAATCGGTCCAGTAGTTTCGGAGCCTATTCAGTACAAACAAACAAAACAAAAAATCAAATCTTTCCTCTCTATAATAGTTGTATAGACTGTATTTATTTCTATTTAAAAAGCTCGATTAACACTAACCTGACGATTTTACGAATTTCCAATACAATTATCGTATAATTATATAATTAAAAAACTGATCACCTATATAGTACAAATAATATTTATATGAAATAAACAAATTTAAATATCAATCAATTAAACTCTGTAACCTTTGCACATATTAGATATAACTTATAAATAAATAAAAAATAAATAAACTTTAAAAACATTTTTCGCTTAAAAAAATTAAAACGTGTCGTGTGAATGTCGCTAACAGACTAGATTTAAATCTTAAAGTATACATAGACAATTATACCATTCCTTTTTAAATAAAATTGGCATAGTACCATAAATATACTTAATACAATATAGTGTATACATTGCACATGAGATGGCGTTACTAGTAGCAAAATACAAATAAGAAATACGTTTATTATTTTGATACATCATTATAACAAAAATCTGCCTATTCCAAAAATCTAAACACATACTGAATGCCTTATTAAGCTGAAAGTTTTAAAAAGGAACAGACATTTAAAGCTTTAATCCCTAAGAAACTACTACATACTAGCTAGGGGTGTGCGAATATCGTTCGAATCGAATTGAATCAAATATCAATATTCGATTCGAAATTCGAATCGAATAATTCGAAAAATTTCGAATAATTCGTAAAAATTTCGAATAATTCGCGAATTAATGAAATATCTCTGGATCTTGAATTGTATCCATTTAAATTCCTTCAAATCGTGTGTCTAAATAGTCTACTTACGAATAATATACTTTTTGTTTAAAAATCGATTACCCAGAGAAAACAATTGCTGATTTTTAAAATTTGCAATATATGTTTATTAGGGGTGTGCGAATATCGTTCGAATCGAATATTAATATTCGATTCGGAACGAATAATTCGTAAGTTCGAATTATTCGCACACCCCTACTACATACTCTTTAAAGTAGTACCGCATTTGGTTTCGCAGGCACTCTGACATAATTGATTGGCCAAGTTAGAGATTAATCAAAATCTACAAAATTTATGAAATACCTACTTAATTCGTTAAATTCTTGTCGTAAAATTTTTTGCTAGTCAAATTAGCCTGTAGTCACACACATTTTGTACAATCAAAAGGAAATTGAAACCATAGGTGATTATTTTTTTAATTAATTATTAAAAAAAAATTAAGATGGTATACATATGGGCACCTACTTTAGAATATCTATGATACCTACCTGTGATTGTCATACCGATTTTAAATAGGTCGATGATTTTTACATTGTCAACCAAATATTTACGAAAATTAAAAAAAAAATCACAAATCAAAATACCCATTCCAGTGGCGTTCAATTAGTAATTTCATATCTGCACAGATAAATAAAATTGAAGTGTATGTTTGTAATTTCGAAATAACAGCTCTTTACTAAATGTATATGAAATTATATACGGTACTTATAAGAATAGCACAATTTTTAAAAATTTTGTCAGTTTATTCTATTTGTTCCGGCTAATCTCCGAAACTGGACTGGACTGATTTTGACGGGACTTTCATTGGCAGATAGCAAATGTTATAAGGACTTAGGCTACTTTTATTTTAGAATAAGTATTAGGGTTTTTTAGCGAAACGAGAGTAAACCGCTAGTAAAAAAAAGAACAAAACAGGTCACCTTGAAAATAGCCAGTATCGTATATGTCGTCGAGCGTGGGCACGAAGGGCGGCTCGGCGTCGAGCTGGCGCTCCCAGCGCACGGCGCGGAACAGCGGCAGCGCGCGCACGGCGGCGGCGCCGGGCCGCGCGCGCGCACTGCTCGTCAGCAGCGCCTCGATGGCGCCCACCGCCTCCGCCGACAGCGCCTCGTCCCCCTCCGGCCACTCTATGTCTGACACATTTCATTTAACTTATTACATTAAATGAGCAATACCTACTAATGAGTATATATGTACATATGTATGTATATAACTTTATTTCGTGTAACTCAAAAATAGCTCTAACGATTTGGAATAATTTTTGTATTTAGAAAAGGTTTTGCTTTTTAAGTTTATATATTAAGGTATCTTTTCTGAAAAAACGCCTTTTTTACAAAAAAAAAAACATAATTTTTATATCACTACATAAATATAATTAGTTTTTTCTATCTGCTCTCATACTGATGATTATGATATGCCAAATAGAGCCATCTTATAAATTTTGTGATACTGCTTTGTCGATGCTAATCGACGAAATCCTACTGAACGAGTGCCTACCTATAGACAAACTCAAACATACAAAGTATCATGATAGCACATGTTACAATAATACAATTAAATACATATATTTTAAGTAATTTTAATTATATATAGTATCTAAACACATAAATTAATATTGGATGTTTTAATCACTACCTATCCATAATAATATTATAAATGTGAGTGTGTTTCTTTGTTTGTCCTTCTTTCACGTCGAAACGGAGTGACGTATTGGCGTAATTTTTTGTGTGGAGATAGTTGGAGAGCTGGAGAGTGACATAAGCTACGTTTTACCGCGGGAGATTATCTAACTCCCAGAATTACGTTTAACTTGGTATTAATGCTCTTCAATAAAATTAAATAAATCGTGCTTTAGCATTTTTAAAAATTCATCCTATAAGGGGGTGAAATAGAGGATGAAAGTTTGTATGAAACTACCTTTTTAGAGATTTTTTGTAGTTTTACCGCGAGCGAAGCCGCGGGTTCTGCTAATTTATTATAAATGAAAGACCACCAAGCTTAATTAATGCTAATTCAAGTTAATCTCATAAACTACTGTCGGAATTTTTATATAGCTTTCACCAATAAAAAGAGGGATTACCTAGGAAGGTTGGGCTACATTGGATGTCATCGCTTCAACATATTATAAATATAAATACAAATGTGGCTTTCTTTATATATATATATATTTATAACTTACTCTTGGAAAGTATGTTTTTAAAGACCGCTTGTGGCGTTTCATCATTGAATGGCGGTACTCCAGTCATAAATTCGTAGAGACACACGCCTAACGCCCACCAATCTACCGGAGGACCGTGCTCTTGCCTGAAAACATATAATGGAATTTATAAACCTTAAGTTTCCATTATCTCCATCTTTTTCAGAATTTTACACCCTATATTTTAAAGTTAGAGGAGGGGAGAAGAGTGATAACGTTTAAGATTTTAGAAGAGTATAACTCCTTAACTTTCTGTTTAAGTAAAAAAAATCGTGTAAAAATGAGTACCACATTTCCAAACCCATATTCAAAAATACCCCAAACTATTACGTAAACTTTTTTTTAATAACAAGTTTCAAGTAAAATTGTTGTAACATACCACAACTTTTAAGTTCTATTTTTGCCTTTTGGCTATGGAGTCTTAAAAAATAATAGTCCCACTGAGTTTCTTTAACCAGTCATTTTCAACACCAAGATGACCAATCGTACGAATTCAAAGTGATACAATCAACACCACTAAAAATGTTTAATTTAAAAAAAAAGCATGTGTGTGTACTTATGTACAATTAAGAAATTATACTTCTTTGGCATAACTGAACAAAAATAGCTAAAGATTTCATCCCGTATGTCACAACTCTCTGTTTGTGAAAGGAATTATAAATTAATAAAAATAATTAAATAAGGCATATTAGGCATACTACAATAATATATTTATAGAATATCTTTTAAGTAAAGAATATTGATCCGTATAACCAGCTATCACCATACTAAATTTTATCAAAATCCCTCCAGTGGTTTTTCTGTTATGCGGTAACAGACAGACAGACAGACAAAAATTCTAAAAAGTACAGATTCGGCCTCTGTATCGATAATAATGTTTATTTCAATAAGATTTTCCAAAAAATATCTAATGTACAGATTCGGCTTAGTTACAAATTTATTATATGTATGTATAGATTTATCATCAATAACAGCGGTTACCATGACAATAAACCGTTATCGTCGGTGTGCAAGCGTATCGTAAAAATTTTACTCTCATAATTTTTTTCCAACGTCCCTATAAGAAGTATAACTTCAAAAAGTGTTTCAATAAATTTTTTTCACGATAACGAAAATTTGAATTAACTCATGATATTTATACCTTAATAATAATTCTGGAGCAAGGTAATCAGGGGTGCCGAGAATCCTCTGGTCAGACACTTGGTTCCCTCTCCTCACACTCTTCGGTGTTCTGTACGGAGTATGAGCAGTTGCTAGAGGGGTTTTACAAACATCTGTTGGAGATTTACTATCTTCACCCTAAAGTAAATATATTTTCAAAGATTAATTCAAGAACAAGCTATATGTTTGTTTGGAAAATAGCGTCTTCAGTTATGTAGAGGAAATAAAAATGAAACAAAAATTAACAAATCAAATTTAAAACATACAAATTTTAACATCTATAGGTTTAATATTGTGAATGAATTATTTTATTACTTTTATGCAAAGAAGAACTGTAAATATTATTTTAAATATATTTAATGTATTTGTAAGTTTATAACATGAATATTTGTCATTTGTTTTGTGGTGGACTATGACCTATGTGATAAGTCTGTTGCATTGAGGAGAAGCTTGTGCCCACCAACAAGGCGTTTAAAGAGCTGACGCTGGTGATATGATGTCAACATAAATATATTAACGGACAACAAAAATACGAGTAGTGTGAAGTTTTTAGTTTGTAATGAGATTGATTACTAAAATGACATAATACATTAATTATAATGTTAATGAAAAATAAACTATATTAATATTCATAAATATTGTAATTTGTGAGAACACTTATTCACGTTTCTATAACGAAACATCGCCTACCTCTGCAACGATAATAGAGGCTTAATCCTACCGTTAGTCTATATGTCTATATATATTTACTTAATTTTCTTACTTAATTTTAAGATTTTTAATTCTCGCATTTCAAAATTATAATAACATCAACATTGCCCGTGGCTCCGCCCGCGTTCAGATGACCAAAAACCAAATTCTTAGGTTTTACATACATATTAGTAAACTCTTACATTGTAGTTTTTTTTATTTTTTCTCAGAAATGAGATATTTTCCCGCGGTAAAAAGTATCCTATATGTTGACCCGGATAACAAGCTACGACCATACCAAATTTCATCAAAATCCCCCCAGTGGTTTTTCCGTGATGTGGTGACAGACAGACAGACAAAATTTTTAAAAACTATTGATTCCAGCTCTGTATCGAAAATAATGTCTATTTTAATAAGATTTTCCAAAAAATATTAAATGTACAGATTCGGCTTAGTTAGAATTTTATTATATAATAACATAAAACAATACCTGTTCGCGACGCCCATGTCTAGTACTGGTGCAACCCTGTCGAAACATACGCCTCTAACCTAGCTAAATCCTGTGTATATACAACACTTTACCTTGCTCATTCTTCTTGTAGGAAATATTTCTAAACTCGTTGATATATGTTTCCCAAATGTAATTGATTTTTCTTTGCAGCTAGAAATTGTGTCATCAAAAGGCAAATTGAATCTGGTCGCCTTCTTCTTTAATTCAGGTGATTTATTTGAAACCGGCGTGGAAAATATTACTCCTACATTAAAATGGTGACTGTCGTTTTGTGATACCCATCTGAAAATGTTTTATGTAACCATACAAAAATAAGTTCCCATTATTTTTGTCATTATTAAATTTTTTATACTTTTAGGTTGACTACAAAAATAAAAATTAAGTTTATCTAATACTAATAATAATTCAAAACATATAGCCAAAGCTAGGTGGCAGTGCATACAAGTTATAATTATTATGATTTTAACAAATAATAATTGTAAATGTTAAGGTTTTAAATCTTATTTTTTTTTTACTATAGGTTTTTCTATATATTAAAACTGCGGCAACATAAAAACAAAACTTAATAATATAAAATGTACCTTTTTTTCAGTACCCCCTTTAATGGATTTTTTCTTCTTTCTGGTGTAGGATGAATGGACATACGCTTTGGTGTATTTTGACTAACTTCCAGTTCCAAAGCCATGATTTCTTGAGTAAGGCCACTGTGGTTTGCCTTTGACTCCGCCAGGCTGGTCACTCCAGTGGGAGTGTCTCCATCACAGTCTAGTATTCTTTTCCTTTTCTTGGCACGGAAGCTAATGACAGTTATATTATTTGTTAGCAGTAACTATAAATATGTTGGGACATTAACACAGTACAATTTAGTTCCATAGTAAGCTATGGCCTACACGGCTGGTGTTATGGATACCTACCAGATAGTTATAGTAAGTATACTACAAATATATAACTTTGAATACATACATATCATAAATATAATCACCCATGACTGGAGTCAGTCAATATTCATGCTCATCACACAAATGAATGCCCCGAGCGGAATTCGAACCCGCAACCTTTGGCACAGCAAGTAGGGTAGGTTGTTATTGATAACATACTCTCATACTTTTATTTACTTAATCAATTATATTTCGATTAATATATAAAAGATAATCAATATAATTCGATTAGTTTTATAGTCAACACTTTTAAATAAAAACACAAGGATAATTTCTATGACTGACATAAAATTTACCTTGGAATTCTTTTCAAAGATTGAGCCCTGCAAACTGGTGAGGAGGATTGATCGTGCTGTGAGTCAGTAAAAATATTTGACTCAAGTGAAGAGCCATTAGTACTCACATCCGTTGATTTGTTACTTTTTGAATTTGTACTATTCTTAGAACTCTCACAAGTGTGGTATGAACTTAATGATTCAGAACCTGAATCTAGACTCTGAAATAGTAATACACATTAATTATTATGACCCCTACCAACATTTTTAGATAATATACATGTTATTTTGTATAGTTAATTTTACTATAAAATGAATCATAATAAAATTCCAAATGTTATATGCTCAGGACTAAGAATAACATTAACAAATCAATATGAGTATTAAATACTTGCAGCTATTTCATCTAGGTTTATACTTTCTGCACTCATAAACGGGTGTATTCCAGACAACTGAGAAGAGTCAAGCAATGATGACCTATCTCGTTTGTTAATGTTAAAGACACTCTTTAATTTTGCTGAAAATGTAAAAACTTATTAAAATACACTAGAAAAAAAATATGTTTTACATTTAATTCATAAACCTTTAATTATCATAAACATTTAACAAATAAAAATCTTGCTAAAATAATCATAAAAATCAATTTTGTAAAAAGAAATTATATTTTTTTTTCAATAATAACAGAAAAGGAAAATGAGAAAGAATCTATTTAATTAGCAATAGGCTTTCTCTTTACATACTAGTTTCCTTAATTTCATCAAGAAGATTCTCACAAGTTTCAGTTTCCGTGATAGAGTTCTGAGTACCGTCTCCACCTCCAGAGCCAAAAGATAAATGAGAAGTTAATGATAACAGTTGTCCTGGTGTGCGCATGTTGAGACTTGGAGTACAATTAACAAAATCTGATATCTCTAAATCTAAAAAAACATCACTCAATTATTATTAAGCAACTATTTTATTTCAATTTTAAATTAAATATAAAAGTTGTTTAGTGTTTACAAAATATTATAGGCTTACCTCTATGTATTTCAATCTTAGATAATCCAAAATCTGTAAGTTTTACATGACCAGTTCTAGAAATTAACATATTATCAGGCTTCAAGTCTCTATGAACAATATTATGTTTATGCAAATATTCTAATGCCAGTGTTACTTCCGCCACATAGAATACTGCCATGGCTTCTTCTAAAAATCCATATACACCAAGTAATGATTTTAAATCTCCTCCTACCATATACTCCATAACCTAAACATGAAATAGTTTATGAAAATTATTAGTATTCATTCACAAATGTTTAAAAAAAATTAAAACTTAAAATTGAAGTTACCAAATATATGGAGGAAGCCGACTGAAGAGAATAAAATAGATGTACACAAAATGGACTTCTTGATAAAGCAAGTGCATTTCTCTCAGTAACAACTTGAGCTACCATGTTTTTATTTATCATATCAGATTTTTTCATCACTTTTATAGCATACAGTTGTTCTTTATTACTTTTTTTATGAGCAAGAAAAACTTTACCAAAAGCACCTCGACTTATGGGTTTCACAATAGTAAAGTCATTTATATCAGGAACCTAAAACAAATTAAAAGAAAACTTTTATATGTCAGTTTAAATTATATTACCTACGTATTTACTTCAAATATACCTTGTTCGTAATAGCATCTTGATTGATTGCGTTAATCTTTTCTAAAATTGTATGGGTAGACGCATTTTCAAGGAGATTCGTATTGTTTGAAGTCATAATGTCACTATTTCACTATTTTCTAAAGGTACATAACGAAGAGCTTATTATATTATTTATATTTTCTTACGTGGCCTTAATATAATATATTTGAATTCACACTACAGTTAACAAAGTTCAAACGCAACAGACAAACCGTATGACATGACATATGACATGAAACGATTAACGAAATAACTTTTTATTTGATTGACGTTTGAGTTTTGACGATGAACCACAGACTACTAAGAAAAACTACATACAGCGGAAATAAATAAACCAACCGTCACAATCAACAATATATAATCGTCAACAATAATAGATAACAAGTTATATAAATAATGTCCTCACATATGTAGAATTGTTTAGAAATACTTACAGCTAAATTGGGTTTATCGACCGCGTGAAGACGCATGAAAATTATCGTAGGCATAAAAATAGTAATAGTAGTCGCCGTAGCTGAAATCGACGACGACATGTATATCATCATCATCAGTCTTAAAGTACCGTATATAATTTCATAGGTATGCATTTAGTAAAACGCTGTTATTTTGATATTAAAAACAGACACTTCAATTTTATTTATCTGTTTATTGTAATGTCAGCTAAAAATATGGTAAATTTAAGAAATACGAATTTTATTATATTCTATGCATTGATATATAAAAACCCAAGACACAGTGTCTCAAATATACTCAAAACAGAGCGCACAATTTCAAATTTCCCCCCTAAAAATAGTTTTATTTTAGAAATAAAGAAATAACCCTAGGTAACGTATTTAAATTAATTAAATATTATTTAGATTTAATAATTTCTTTATATTTTGTTTAAGCTTATTACGTATGAGTTATCTAATGAACACCTAAAATTTTCAATAAAAATAATTACTATAATTTGATAATATAAACATTGCTGTTTCATCACTGATAATGATTTATGATAAAATTGAAGGAACAAGTATTAATTAAATTGCAACTTTGGTGCTTTAACATGCATAGTATTTCTACATAGTTTGTGGCTTTAACTCAACAATAATAAATTTTAGTCTTCAAGTTGACATGATATAACATAGTTTCTAAATGCTTGCACAATAGCAGAACAGACCAAAGGCTGACGAGGGTTGTCTTCATAGCATTGCGTAATCTGTAAAATTCAATAGTTTCAACTTTCGTCGATCTGTCCATTCAATGATATCGTTTCAAATAAAAATATAAACTGTTTAAGATCATACAAAGTAGGTATACTATTGCTCATCATCAATTTAATAGTAATTAGATAAAGTTACTGTGGCTTTCTTTGTCTTATGACTCATGAGTCATGACCTCCCAAGTACTTACTTAAACAATACAGAGTTGAGAGTTACAACAAAATAAATAACTTACATACCTAACCTCTTAGATTAAAAGAATCGAACGTATGTATACATAAATCGGTTTGTGTGTGTATATTTGTAACTGCTTCACGCTGTAAAGCTGGATGGTTTTATATGAAATTTAATAGGCACATAGAGTGTATGACTTGTAAATGGACTAGTACCTATGTTTAAAAAGTTAGGCATTGATGAATTTTAAGAAAAGAAATAATGCCTTTTGTTAGCACACCACAATATAGAAATAAGTAATAACATCAATACCTATTTGCGTCATATGCTATCACCAGGGAAAAAAAATAAAAAATAGTTCAAAAAAATGTTAGTAAATGACGTAAAATGTATATCTGGATTAGTTTTTAATTATTATAAATTATATTTATTTTTTGATGTGTATGGAACATAAGTGAATGAAAAAATAAGGCATAAAACATAACATACATTATACACATTATAAAATAATATAAATCGGTAGATTTTAAGTAAGAGTCATCTTTTCAGGTTAAAGAAATTGGCCGAATTAGGACCTTCTATTCTCTTTGTACGTGAAGCGCACGAGTATAGTATAATAACTTTGACTATACCTACGACTATAGTATATAATATTATCTGTTTAAATCGTAATGTTAATACCTTCGCCTGCCAATCAAAACAAGGCTTTAGTTTTTGAATTTTTTCTTGAGTCACTTTTGGTGTTTCAAATAATTTATTTGTATATTCTATAGTTTTCTCATATTCATTTTCAATAATCTTGTTGATTACATGATGTTCGTTTTTCAGGTAATCTATTCTGCTGGTCCAGTAATCTTGCCTGTCGTCAACTAATTCAGTGTTTTTTCCTGGCTGCTTTAAATCTAAATCACTTGGTGTATTCTAAAATTAACAAATAAATCTTAATAATGGATTCAATACCATCTCACCAAGTAAAACACTAGAACATCAGACAGTCAATAATTGCAAAAAAAGCAAAAAAAGTACGTACCCCATCGGTAATATCTATGTCATCACTATCTTCCATCGTTTTCTGTAAAAGTATTGGGCTTATCGCAAAATTATTATCAAAACTTATACGTCTTGTATCTTTACTTGTAATTGCACCCATAGTTTTGTTAAAAATTAAGGTATAAAAAATTGATTTTGTAAAATTTTATTATTCATTAAAAAATTTGTCAGTGTTTTTTATTTATTTTATGGTCGTGGTAAAATATTGAAGCGTGGCCAGTGATATTATAAATTATATATTATTCATCTATATCTATTTAGAAACTAGCGGTTCACCCTCGCTTCGCTCGGGTTCGTCGCTAGGTATGTTTTAAATATATATAAATAGTTATTAGCCAGCATAGCCATATAAATTTTATTTTTTCTCTTTATAAAAACCTTCCGTGGACCTTAAGATGCCAAAAAAATATTAGTCGAATTAGTCCATCCATTCTTGAGTTATGCGCTTACCAACATTCATTTTTATTTATATAGATGACGACGCGAATTTTATATATGTAGCAATATACTCTATGACGCGAATTTAGCTTTTAGCTTGGGGAGGGGGAGGGGGGGGAGGTGTGTCGTCAGTGTCTCGACTTTCAGTTGTGCCCATAGAGTATATTGCTACATATATAAAGTTGTGCCCGGCAATCTAGTCGAAGGCGCGAAGCTAAAAAACACGCTAGGAGGCGGCCCGCCTGTATGCTGCTTACAATTTCTACACTCTTCTTGTTCCTGGTCTATGGTTTACACAGCAGTGACGTAATTCATTTTGGTGTTCAACTTATAATGGCGGACTGCTGTATTTTGTAGTTTTATTTTATTAAATAAATTATCAATCTCGCCTTAAATATGAAAATAAAAACATTTTTCAAAATCTATTAATCTTATCTCATTAGATGTACACATTATTTTAGTAGTTCTTAGTTACTGTCATCATGCCTATTATCTATAATTATACTTATTATAAAAATAAGTCCCCCGGCCGCGTCTTTCTGTCCTCCTGTCTGTCCTCCTGTCTGTCCTCCTGTCTGTCTGAACGCGATAAACTCGAAAACTACTGAACGGATTTTTATACGGTTTTCAACAATAGAAAGAGTAATTCTTGAGGAAGGTTTAGGTATATAATTTATTATGCTTTTATGTAAATTAGCTGAAATACGGCGACAAATGTTGAAGAGGTCGCAAAAAATCTCGCCAAATGGGAACTTTCCACGCGAACGCCGCGTAAACTAGCAAAGATACAGTTAAGTAATGTACTAGAGAATTCAAAATCTATAAAAATGCTACAAAAAAGTCCGCGATAGCATATCTCTATCTCTTACGGTTGACTTACAATAACCACTTTTATGTTAACATTTTTAATTAAAAACATTACGTTATTTTCAAAGTTATTTTCTTTAGTTCGGTATTAATCCTTATCCAAATGAATATTTTAGTTAGCTTAGTCATTTAATGCAGATTAAAATTGCTCTTTACACTAAATCAATCAGATGAATAGTTTTTGAGATATCGTTGTTAGAAGTAATTAGTAGCGAAACATTTTTAATGCTTGGCGAGCATTGAGATGCCTACGGCGAGTCCATCCCCTCTGCCCCGCATCGCTCGACCGCCTGCTCAAGCTATATAAACCGGGCGATGTAGCGCGCGATCCTAGGATACTTTTTACCGCGGGAAAATATCTTATTTCTGAGGAAAAATACAAAAACTGCAATGTAAGAGTATACTAATATGTAACACCTAAGAATTTAGTTTTTGGTCATCTGAACGCGGGCGGAGCCGCGGGCAATGCTAGTGATATATAAAAACGACGGACTAAAAAGCGAACTACCTATAAGTTGAGAACAAGTTGAAAAAATATAAGTAGATCGAGGTTAACATGGACTGCGTAAAAGAGGATAAGTGTATGAAAGGTGTGTGCTGATAATATCAGTCATATTATGACGGATGTCAGAAAGAAATGGCAGAGTGCTAGATATTGTACAAGAAGAAATGGTGTAGAAACTAGGCATGGAATATTTCACGAGTAGCAAGTGAAAAATCACATGAAATGCGTTATCATACATCACACCTGCTACTTAAATTTACAGTGACTGCTACAAATCACCATAAACTTTATAGTCGATTTTTGCCTCTTCGGCTTGTGCAAATCGGCAGATTATTAAATTGGACACTTTTCAGGATGTGACTAGCCTACCACACCTTAATCTGACGGTTTCAAGTATTTCTACCTTATCAAAACATTTTTTAAATATTTTAATCGGCTTCCCTAGACGCGCCCCTTTATATAGAAGACTTATATTATGGTGAAAGTACTCAATAGAGTGCAAGGTAACCTCTTTTATGTTAATCTGCCGCGCTCGAGTAACTACAGAAAATCCCCTCTTGGGCTCCCCTACTAATACTTCATTTTAATAGCAAATAATATAAAGTGTGACACCAGACCGTCGAAATAAAAAATCATTGCCTGTGAAAAGTAGCAGGTGAAATCACGTGTAATTTTATCATATGATAATGATTTAAAAGTAGCAATCATATCCATGCTTAGTAGAAACCAGTCAGTAAGTTAATACGTTATAGGCATGAACGAATTAACCACTAATTCGTCCATGGTTATAGGTGAAGTGTGAACGAACTTTTACTATTGTCTATGATGTCATTTTCTTCATAGACAAAAATTATTTTGTTTGTCTGTGCTAATTTTGACACTTGACTGCTTAAGACTTCAAATTTGTTTGACGTTTTATATATAAATTATAAAAAAACAGTAAGCTAACTTATAATTTATAATATTAATGTCAATTAAAGAATTATGCAAAATGTTTAACCAATTTAACAAATCAAATCTGTGTTAAAAGTACGATATTAACATCAATTTTATGTCAGTATAGAGAAATATTGATTTTAAATATGTCTTTATACGACGATCTTGATACCATAAAAGCTCGTACTACCGAAAAAGTAGCAGAGTGGTCTTCAGGAATTAAACTACTGCAGTCTCAATTACAACTCAAAAAGGCTGCAGTTACTCAACCCAAGAGAGAAGCTTTACGGCGATCAAATCAGGTATTTTGATCACATCACATTGTTCAAACTACATTTATTTATCTCTTGCATTATTAATAATAATTTATTAATAAATATTACTTCTAGAAGTATATTTTGTTCAAAATATTGTTCTGTTTAAAGGTTTTAACACCAGTGATAGACCTGAAGAGTAAACAGAAAGATGATGATGAGGCAAATTCAAGCAGTCCAAAGGTACAACCAAAAACATTTGCAGCTTCGTTAAATGTTCGTGATTTTGATTGGAATGTTGCAAATGAATATGATCCTATGTGGCCCAATGACTATGAAAAGGTTGCTAAAGGTAAGACCAATGTTAATTGAACAAAATATTTTATAGTGATTTTAGATTATTTATTTAATTCTATGTACTATAATTACGATTTTTAGAAATGCAAGCTAAAAGGTTAAATCTTGATGGCAATGAAAGAAGTGATAGATTAGAAAGAAAGAGGAAATCTAGATTTGGTGATGATGAAGATGTAACTCCAGAGAAGACTTTAGTGCCTATGGTATGGTATATATATTTTATAGCAAATTATTCCAGCTTCCCATAGCTTTGAAAGCTATTTAATATTTTGAAATGTATTTCAATTTAAGTAAATGCCTTTAAGCAGGGATATCCCACATTAATATTGAAATACATTACCTAATATTATTTTTTATGCAGTAATTTTATTATATATATTATATAATTAAGAAAATATCATTTTTTCTTCCTTTAAAATTTTGCACTTAGGATTATCATTTTAAAGGGTAGGACATCAGATATCTTACCTTTTTATTTTAATATATATTCCAATTTTATGTAGCAACCTGAGGAAGAAGAAGCAGAGGAAATCTCAAAGAGAGCAACTGGAGTTGCCATAGCACCCCCACCCTCACTAACTGTGGAGTCTCTTTCACCACCTCCACCAATCATTACACCCCCTGCAAATACAGGGTTTTCAATTGGTGGGTATGGTGCAAGTTCAGTAGCTGCTAAAATTATGGCAAAATATGGTTTTAAGGTAAATATTTGCATTAAGATTATTGATTTTATCGATTTCTATGATGATACATAGCCTTAGTGTAAATAAATATAATTTTATTTTTTTCAGGAAGGACAAGGGTTAGGTAAAAAAGAGCAAGGGATGTCAGTTGCACTTCAAGTGGAGAAAACGTCTAAAAGAGGTGGCCGAATTATTCATGAGAAAGATAGTACTATGCCACCACCTAGTTTTGCTATGCCAGCACTACCAGGATCAGGTAATTCTCAACCATCTGATACATATAATAATTTCCAAAGGATTAATGTTTTGTTTTAAATATAACAACTGGCTTTCCAATGAATAAAATAAATATACTTTTATTAACAATAGCATTTCATAGTAAAATGTATGTATGAATTTGTTAGATAACTAGTTTAAACAATTTTTTTTCTGTTAATATTTTCAGATTCTCCTAATTCTTCAAACTCTCCACTGCTTTCAAAACATGAACCTTCTATAACCGAAATCATGAAATCACCCAGTAAAGTGGTTCTTCTAAGGGTATATATTTAATATTTTTATCTGTATACACATTACATTAAAGTTGAAAAAAAGACAATACATATCCTATTAATTTATTTGGTTTATACATCTATGTACAAAGTAACAATACAATTAAATTACTATAAATTGTAATAATTTATTGTTTTTTTTTCAGAATATGGTAGGTCCAGGCGATGTCGATGAAGAGCTGGAACCGGAAGTAAAAGATGAATGTAATACAAAATATGGAGACGTTGTAAAGGTGTTGATATTTGAAATGCCTAATGTTCCACATGATGAGGCAGTTAGAATCTTTGTAGAGTTTAAAAGAATTGAAAGTGCTATCAAAGCAGTAGTGGACTTAAATGGAAGGTTTTTTGGTGGTAGGCAGGTTAAAGCTGGCTTTTACAGTGTAGAAAAGTTTAATACATTACAACTGACTGAATGAGACAATGTTTTAATAAATATTTAGTCTAATTATGGATTTTAATTTTTATTCAAATCATTTGATATTATCAAATTGATAATAAAGTCAAGACAAAAAGCCTATATATATATATATATATATATATATAACATATAAATAACAATGATAGTAAATATATGTCCAAAATATAACATATTATATTACTAACAAATTGATACCTATAACGCCATCTTTTGACATTTAATAAGAATAAATTTTGTCCTGATGTGACCTCAATGACTTCAACAAAGATAAAGTAGGTATTGACGCTTAATAGTATAACACGATTTAATTAAGAAGTACATAGATAAGCGCACATCAGTATATTAATTTTCTCCCTAAGATGACATAAGTATAGGGTTGCCATATTATTGATATATTTTGATAGTCCTATCAATAGTTGGCCTCGAAAATCAATATACATAGTATAAAATCTATAATATTATAAAGAGGAGAGTTTGTTTGTTAGAACGCGCTAATCTCGGGAACTAATCTGATTTGAAAAATTCTTTTTGCATTAAATAGCCCGTTTATTGAGGAAGGAATCTTTATTGTTTTATAGGCTATACATCATGTAATATGCAAGTAACAAGCAAGCAAGTAACAGTAACAAGTCTATCATATACTAACCGGTAAAACGGAAGAGCCCGAGCGAAGCAAGGGTGAGCTGCTAGTCTACATTTATATTTGATGTTGCTTTAAAGTGTATAAAGAAAAGGGGGAAAAATTCCAAAAGGGCACTGTACATAGTATTAGACTAATTTTATTAGATCAATCAGATAAAAGAAGCATTTATTTTTTCAATAATTTAATATACCTTTGGCTGTGTCATGTACATTACATATACATTTTCTACATTTACATGGAAAACATTAACATTTTTCGTATAATTTTTTAATCAACATCACAATCATGCTTGAGATCTGGCAATTTCTTCTTCTTTACTATCTTTTTGTTTGGGTTTCACATGTCTATCTGTGTATATATGCAATATAGCGCGACAATCCGGATACAGTTCGTATTTGGTTCTTGTTATATTTGTCTTTATCCTGTCTGCAACTGCTTTTTGTTCCAGCATCATTTGCAAAGCCTTTTCAGCATTTATACTTGGAAGTTCTTGAGCTTCTACTTTTAATTCACATCTATCTATCCCATCAACCTAAAATTATTTATGTTAATATTTATTTGTGTATTTTTTTTTTATTTGTGTTATGGATACCAGATAGTTGATACACTATACAAATATAACTTTAAATACATACATATTATAAATATAAACACTCGTGACTGAAGTACAAACATCGTGCTCATCGCACAAATGAATGCGCCCAGCGGGACTTGAACCCGCGATTGCTGATACAGCAAGCAGGGTCACTACGAACTGAGCCAAACGTGTCGGCTAATTAGTAGTCTACGTATATGCAATAAATAAGTTAGGTGGAATAAGATGCGCCATCGGCTACCATGCCAACACATAATAAATATGCTACTTATTTATTTGTATTATGACCATATAATGAATAGCGTAGGTATATTGAAATAATTTAAATCGACATCCAATTTAATAGTATAAATGCGAAAGTAACTCTGTTTGTCTGTTCGACATCTAAACCGCTGAACCATTTTTGACGAAGATATAAATTGAAGCTTTGAAAGGACATAAGTAATTTTTTTTTCGAAAAATTAAACTTCAAGGGGATGAGATAGGAACCAATCATTTTTTAATTTGAAAATAAAGAGTGCTTCAGAGATGGAGGGCTAGAGAGTGACATAGGTATGCTTGTGTTTACCTAAGGACAAATATGGGGGAAGCAAGGGTACGCCACTATACTTATTAATCTAGATGAACTTACTTTGCATTGAAAAGATAGTGGAAAATTTTCATCTACATTAGGCCATGTCTGTTGAAGTACACCTTTATCCCAATCAATTCCGCTTATACTCTGAGATACCCTGTTAGGTGCCGATTGGAATCCAGCCCACAGCTCGGAACAGAAATGTGGCGTAATAGGGGATAGCATTATAATCAAATAAGCCAATGAACGCTCAAATTCCTTACTATTCGCGATTATTTCAGGTGGAATGTTATTCTGAAATGATATTAATTTAAAATTACGTGTTAAAGAATAAAAAAATATTATATTTATATACCCTAAAAGTCATTCGAACTACAGTCGTAGCCGAATAGCTTTTAATACCAGAATTGGGGGGTCATAATATCTATTTCCGCATGAATTGGCATATTGGTGTGAATATAATTTTACACCAGTCTAGACTAATACTTTCTTAGATAATAATTATTATATAAACCGGGATCTCTCCCGGCCTTCAAATATTCCTGGCAAATATGATCGCTGTAAAGCATTCAAACGTTGGGAACAAAAAATCAAAATATTCAGCGAAAAAATCACTAAAATCTCTTTGTCAACCCTACAGAGAAAGTAAGTACTTAATAACAAACAGTTTAATACATACCCTTAAAACATTAGTTAAACTCTGTAAACGAGATATTCCTACACTAAGTTTTTGAGTGTATTTGAAATGGTATGTTGCAGTTGCTATAAAATAATTTCTTGAATTCCATAATTTAGACTCGATGTCATGAAATTCTTCAGAAGACATTTTTTTGTTATCATTGATATTATAGGACGATCTGTGCTTCAAGAAATCTCTCATAGTAATCCATATCCTGTGTTGCCAATTTAATACTCCAGGTAAAGCTGAAAGATAGTTTATGTTTCATTTAAGTACTATGTTAATCATTATGAAATATGTATAATATCATATCTTCCTAAAAATTACACACACCAATGATGACAATAATTAGTTAAGATCACCAGCGAATAAAAAAGTAATATACAAAGAAGAAACAGGTTACATTATAACGAAAAAAAAGAAATACCTAGGTAATTTTTTTAATGAATTATAAGGATTTTCTTGCCCTAACCGCACCATATTCGGTTGCATTTGAATTGGTTTCACTTGGTTTTTCATATTTACTATGCAGTAATACTATCATATACGATATTCAATGCATACAATTATTATTAATACCTTAAAAAAGAGTAGTTTCGGGTTCAATTTACCCGAAATGTGTAAGTCAATGACCAGGCTAGTTGTTTAAAATAAGACATTGTTCATTCTTGGGTACAATCGACATTGGTGTAGAATGGAAAAGAGGTTGAGGACCTTAGTCCTTACTAAGAGGGTAACAGTATGAATATATAAAAAATAACAATAGAAACTGTATTCAGCGAAACTTAAGGGATTCAGAGTTTTAGTTTTTTGAGATTTTTTGTTGAATGAAGTACCTACCTATATCAAAGGAAAACATAAGAATTTCTGCCTTCTGTTTCGCGAATATTACTAAAACTGTTTTTGTCGACACTCTACTTCAAGGCTCGCGGACATGCCGGCATGTCAGTTAACAACTGATTTCCCGGAAACTAACCACGGAGGCGTTACAAACTTCTATTAACAAGTTAATTACAGTGGAAATGGCAATCACAAAAAACAAACTTAACATTTTTTATTCAAATGAAGACTTTTTTCAAGTCAGATAATTAATTGCCTGATCATCCTACTATTATAAATGCGAAAGTTTGAGAGGATGTATGAATGTCTAGATGTATGGATGTTTGTTACTCTTTGACACAAAAACTACTGAATGGGTTTTAATGACTACAATACTTTACAATAATATAGCTTATACATGAGACAACACATAAGCTACTTTTTATCGCGGCAAAATGTACGGTTCCCGTGGGCTAGATTTGTTTTTGTTACTCTAGAGGTGAACTCGAGCGAAGCGAAGGTGACCTACTAGTAGTTCATATTTTGTTATGACTGTATTAGTCATTATAAAAATTAGGACATAAACAATATTACGGAACAAGAAATTTAAAACGTAAAAGAAAACAGTGAAACTCACTAGCATCTGACCAATGCCTTGGCGTTGCTGGTGGAACATCAGCTAGTATTAAAAGACGCGTCGTGTCACATCCATACATTGATAAAAGCCTTTGAGGATTTTCCCCATTATGTTTAGATTTGCTCATTTTTTCCCATTGTACTAAAACTGGTTCACCTGATTCCTTTTCTACATAGTTCTTTCCTACCTTTTCAACTTTGTCTGGAGGTAAATATTTTCCCGACGATTTAACTTTGTAAGACTGTCCCATGATGAAACCTTGTACTAACAATTTATTAAAAGGTTCTTCTGTAGGCGTTAATCCAATAGAATGTAGGAAATAGCTCATAAAACGTGCATAGTATAAATGTAGTACCGCATGTTCTTTGCCTCCTATGTAACAGTCCACAGGTGTAACTCCATTCAATTTTTCTTTATCAAATGGTTTTTGGTCATTATTATTATCAAGAAATCGATAATAGTACCAAGATGAGTCAACAAAAGTATCCATAGTATCTGTTTCTCGCTGAGCATCTCCTTTGCATTTAGGGCATTTACAGTTTAACCAGGATTGTACGTTTGATAGTGTTGAGATTCGTGATTCACCAGACTTTTTTTCAGGCAAGAGAACTGGAAGCTGTTCATAAGGTACTGGTATGGTACCACAATTAGGACAATGGATAATTGGTATTGGTGTGCCCCAAAATCTTTGTCTAGATATCAGCCAGTCTTTTAACTTTGAACTGACATAATAACCACCAACCTTCTTACTTTGAGCAATTGTAACAGCCTTTTCATTTTCTGAATCTAAATCAAATGACTTTTTTTTCATTGTTGTATTAATGTTTAACATCACAGATAATTTATAATCTTCTTCATTATAAGCAGGAGAAGCAATGTATATGTCTCTACCCTCTGGGTAATGTTCATGATCAACAATGTAAACATTCATATCGGAATCAGTGATTGGATTATAGCATTTCAGATTATTTTTTTCCTCTGCAGATAATTCTTGTAATAATATATTACTAGTACTCATAGTTAAATACTGACCATGAATAAATTTATATGGCTCCGATGACCAAACATCTAAAAGTTTATTCTTCTTTCCATGTTTTACAGTAAAATTTACAATGATGCCATTGCATTCACCAATCCAATGCTTTTGCAAATTAATGATATCTTTCCAGTTTTCTAGCTTCTCACTATTCAATCCATCATACAATTTTTTTGCATATTTTGTAGTTTTTATATACCATTGAGTCAAAATTCTTTTTTCAACTTTTGCTCCTGATCTCCAAGAACATCCATTATCATCTACCTGCTCATCTGCTAAAACTGTAGCATCTACTGGATCCCAGTTTACGTTTGCCTATAAACAAAATACATTATAAACAAAAAATAAGATTTTAATAAGAAAAAGCTATCAAATGTTTTAACACCTCGCAGTTAATTCGTAAAAAAATATTTTTTTTGTATCTGTCAGAGACCGATGGTGGTCGTAGAACATATATTATTTAGCATAATTGATTGATGTCTCCCAAGTCCCAGTTTTTATTACTTATAGACAAAGCAGTGTTATAAAATTATTACTACAGATTACCTTATTTTGGTAAGCCAGTCCATTTTCATATAATTTTAAGAAAATATACTGAGTCCATTTATAATACTTAGGGTCACAAGTACTGAATTCTCTATCCCAATTAAAATTGAATCCTAATTGAAGAAGTTGTTCTTTCATAGTAGATATATTAGTGTTTGTCCATATATGAGGTAAAATATTATGTTCAATTGCTGCATTTTCAGCAGGTAAGCCAAATGCATCCCATCCAATAGGGTGAATAACATTATTTCCATTTAATTTTTGAAATCTTGTAATAGCATCTGATATTGAATATACTCTTACATGACCCATATGTAAATTACCTGATGGATATGGAAACATTGGTAAAACATAAAAGTTTTTTTTAGTTTTGTCATCATCAATATATAAAACTTTTTCTGCCCAATGTTTTTCAATATTCAATTTGTTTTCAGTGGATAAATCGTGATCCTGTAAAAAAACATATACACCATTTGTGATATTCTACTTAATTACTAGAATTACAATAAACTCAGTTATCATCAGTTAAATACTAACCCATAAATCCAAGGAATTTTTAGACCTATTTGATATATATAATAACTTAGGTCTGCATTTAGCTATTGAAGGTTTGTATAGTTTTAAAAAGATCATAATGTTTATTTATCTTTATCTACAAAGACCATTAAAGTGTTTCTCGTAGCTAACACGCTATTATTATTTTATTCATGACATAAAAAAACTTTCAAAAAAGTTAAGTATGTTTATTTTTAAAGTAATAATGATTGTACAGGATTAGAATTATATTAATTTATACTTTAACACATATTCTATATATCATTCTTATATATGCTTGATCACATATATTTAACCTCGAAATTATATTTTTAAAGACAGTAGAATTTAAATCTGCACTAAAATAACATCAACATTCAATTTTCAAGTGTCACTGTCAACTTCCAAGTTCTAGATTTCTGTATAGTGTCAAATGTCATATCTTAACCCTGTTTTCCAATTAGAGCACTAAAGCGCATTATACGGCATAATGCTAACTTTGGATGTTCCAATTACAGCAACGCTCCGCTGAATTGAGCATTTTGAAAAGTAATGCTTTGGCGTGATGCGCACAAGGATACCAACTCAATAGCAGAAAATATGAGAAGTGTTTTTTCTTCAAGGTGGCATTAATCTAAATTTTATTTACATTATCTTTAGTTATATTTGTTTATGTAATTATAATATTTGTCTATGTTTTATTTATATATTATTATATATTTATTATATAATTTATAATATCGACGTTATGTATTATTATATATATAATAATGTTATTTATCTTATTTGAAAAATAAATACTTAACTGCGTTTCTGTAATAATAAAAGAAACAACATTTAAAGCCTCTATTTCAATCTAAATAATAATAAACTAATAAAAATATTAATGTAATAAAAATAAACTTAAAAAAAGCACTTGCATATGAAGTGGTTTTCTTTACATATATTATACACAAATTAGTTATATTTTTCCTTTCAACACTGAACCTAGGGCCCTCTGCTGGTGCACTTGAAAACTAATTCAAGTTCCAATTAAGCATTAGCACACTTCGGCATTGTGCGCCAAAGTATGGCATTATGCTCTGTAATTAGAAAACAAATTTAATCTCTTTTATTTCATGTGTCATATTTTTGCCTTTTTAAATTTTGATCAATGCCGCCTTCTGAAAAAACACTTCTCATATTTTCTGCTATTGAGTTGGTATCCTTGCGCTCATCACGCCCAAGCAGTACACTTTTAAAAATGCTCGATTGAGCGGAGCGTTGCTGTAGTTGAAACATTCAAAGTTAGCATTATGCCGTATAATGCGCTTTAGTGCTCTAATTGAAAAACAGGGACTATTGGTTACTATTTTGACATATGTCGTGATGACAAATAACAAATGTCCATTGTCCACCAGATTGTCCACTGTCATTTGTCAAACTTAAAGTCTTTTTAGTTTTTACCTAGTACCTACCTACCTTGAATTTTGATTAGATTTCAGAGTCTATTTGTAATATATATTGAATAGTTAGTGAGTTTATCTTGTAAATGAGTTATAAGTAAAAGCATAACGTATAATGAAATAAATAGGTACACTATATGCAAACATATCATTCAAAACGAATGATATATTATTTAAATAGGTAGTAAGATGGCCTTTTATTCATGTAATCGCTACAGATTACTAGTTTTGATTATGGTAGCACTCATAATATGGCAGTGTATTCGATTATTATGGCCAGATAAACCTGACAGTCATTTATTGGAGGTATAGTATAGCCTTAACTCCTATTTATAAGTATAACACAAAAATAGATGCAATAAAATATACTTTATTTGTATTACAGAGTAGTATAGTGAAATTAGAAGATGACAAGTACAATAAACATAAGGAAGACAAAGTGAAAATAAGAGTATATTATGAAGCTCTGTGTCCTGACTCCAAGCACTTCTTTATGAAACATTTAGGGCCGGTGACAGAAAAACTATCAGATTTTATAGATGTATCATTAGTTCCTTATGGAAAAGCAAGTGTAAGTGTTACAGTACTCCATAAAATTTATTAACCTAAACGAATGGATTAATATCTATATTAATATTATAAATCTGAAGTATTTTTTGCTTAAATGCACTAATCTCTGAAGTTAACATTGGGATTTGAAAAATTCTTTTACATTTAATGCTTATTTATTGAAGGTTATCTAACTTGAATGAACTATGAATATTGAATGTTAAAAGAAGAAGCATTATATATAAATAGATTATGAGAGTGGACCTGTTTTGGTAAAATATAGTAAATTCTGTATGATAAAAATCAAAACACAGATTTCTACTAGCCTTAAAATATTAAAATATGTATTTTTTTATTGTATTTAACTTATATCAATTTTTTTTAGACCAAAGAAGAAAATGGCCATTACTATTTTACGTGTCAGCATGGTGAGGAAGAATGTTATGCTAATAAAATTCATGCCTGTGCTATAGACGCTCTAAATAATATGACATCTGCTGTTAAAATGACTGAATGTATGATAATAGACAATATGGATGCAGATAAAGCTCTTTTGAGGGTATTTTTTTACATTATCTTATAATTTATCTAACATTAATTGAAAGTACCTAATAATTTTCTCAAGGGTGAAATTTGTTTTATATGAAAACCCTTTTACATTACCTTTTTATTGAAAATCTACTCACAACTGGTGAAGGTCTTACAATATACACGAAAATAAACTAATTTGAAAAGCCTTTTTAAGTGGTGGTATTTTTTGCTCTTGTTACAAGATACTTGAAATTTAGCATCTATTAATAAGCTAAAAAATGAAGTTCAATTATTATCCCAATAGAATTATATACCAGGATAAAAATATCCTGTGTTGTGCCAGTATACCAAATATACCATATGGTATATTCATCTATTAATAAGCTAAAAAATTAAGTTCAATTATTATCCCAATGGAATTATATACCAGGATAAAAATATCCTGTGTTGTGCCAGTATACCAAATATACCATATGGTATATTTGTATGCCAAGTTACATCCTAATCTCTATATTCAAAAATTTATGCATAATTAATAGATGCCTATACATTGTTAAACATTTTCATATTTATAATACTCTAATCTTATATAATCTATTCATATCGTAAAGTGGATACAATGTTTATGGCATTACCAATCATTTTCATTGTTATCTCTAATAAATGTAATTAAAGTTGATGTGAATTTAAAAAAGAACTATGTAGATAACAGGCAATTTTTTTTTTAAATTGCTATATGCTTTCAATTTAAAAATATAATAATATATTTCTGTGTTTTCAGTGTGCTAAGCAAATGAAAATTGACCCAGAGCCGATTGCTTTTTGTGCAGTTCATGAGCAGGGATCACTATTGCTAAAGAAATATGGTGATGACACCAGTATAGTTAAGCCTACTTTCATTCCAACAATAATAATAAATGGTTCTAAGGACAATCAAGCGGCAATCTTAAAAAACTTTCTGTTGGAGGTTTGTAAATTGATCGACATGCCTTTGCCTCCTCCATGTTTGTGACGGCTGAAGTTGCCAAGAAAAAAACTTAAACATATTTTACTTTATACATCATAATTTCTCATGTACATGAAACTTCTAGATGTTTTCATAATAGGATGACAGATTGCTCAATTTTTTTTTGTAAAATTAAACTTAATTTTTTTTTAAGTAGCAATGGATGAATTTTATTTATCTATTTACTCAATACAAAAAAAATGGTCACAAATTGTTAAGAAATTGCTAAGGATATTTATTAAATTATTTTATTAATTTAAAAAAATAATTGGTTCCTTAAATTGAAAAGTATTATTCTAATATAGTTTATTTATTGACTTTATTTATAGAGGCATTTTTTGAAAAATTTCAAAATTTTTCTATTTAAAGGTTGTTAGCCTTTTTAAATAATTTTGGTTGTGTAATTGCATTTATATAATTATTAGTAGGATGTATATAATTACCCTTTACATAATTTTTAAAAAAATATTATAATGACTAAAATAATTCAGCTCATTTTAATGTCCCACTGCTGCATATAGGCCTTACCTCAGAGAGCCTAGGCTCAAGAGAGAAGGAAGGTCAAATGCGAGTTCACATCGTTTCGAAAACTTCTTTGTGGGTCTTCAAAAAAAAGTCCTTACAGACCATTCACATGGTAGTTTCCTCACGATATTATTGGTGATAGTTGGAAAATAATTCAAGGGCTATAAAATTTCAAAGCTGCAAAAAAAATATTGATAATATGAGAGATGTTAATAATGTTTTTAACAAACATAAAAATGTGTGATGCTAAATGCAAATGAAATAATGTATGTTATATATAATCATAAGAAGATATTAATTATATATTATATTATTGGCAAAATTGCTTTTTACTTGATATCTCATCTCTTATTTCATGAGTTAATTTTTAGAATATTGAATTTCATTTTACAGTCTGAGGCTAAGAAAAAAGAAAATATTATGTCAGATATTTATGAAATAATTTATAAAGTATATAATATAGTAAGTAATACTTCCACAAAATTTAGAGTTTGATTTAGATAATTTACAGGTTTTTTTCGAATACCAAATTGGTTGTGTGTATTAATCTTTACATTTAAATTATATAAGACAACTTTATGCAAGAGATCCTAAATTTCTCAATCGTTTTTATTTATGTCACAATGAAAATGTAACATGCTAACATTATTATAAAGTGAACAAATTTTATATTAATATTGTATACAATAAAAGACACGAGTCCTTTCACATACTAGATTATTTTTATGTTATTATTGTTTACATTAACATTTATAAAAAATATATTATAATTCTTTTTGGAAGAAATATATATGCGTATAATATTATATACCTAGCGACTCGTAACGACCTCTTAAGTCTAAATTTTATTTTATAAAAGTACAAGTCATGTTCAGCTTAATTTATTTTTTATTTACGAATATACTTTTTTCTTCCAATTTAGTTGTTTTACTCATAAAACCTCACAAAAATAGCTCTTTTGTTACGAAGTAAACATACTTAAAGACTGCGTGTATCAACGTACACTAGGGCTTTGATCCTTGGAGTTACTGTCTTAAAAATTTCGAGACTGCTCAGTCCATATTATAAACATTTTTTATAATCCGGTTACGTGAGAGCACTGTAAAGTTAAACTTAGAATAAGACAACAGAGGGAAATACTTAAGCATTGCTATATAACTATTTAGGCTTCTAATTAGCATTTAAGCTTCTAATGCGTTTTATACAGCATCATGTTTACTTAATTACACTCATATTTCGCTGAAGCATAGAGGCGCAGAGGAGTAACATTATCAACATTTTGTCGGGCTTCTTTTGACGAAATCTTGGCGGATAACCCAATAAATATTTTCGGCACGACACGGGATTCGGATGCAGGACCTCAGGATCAAGGAGTGGATGTCCTTTAATATCTTTTTTTCTCTGTGTGTATTTGCAATCAGCCCTAAGATTATGAGCAAATTTATTCTAGATGCTGTCCTTTAATATCTGGGCATAACTATCTAGTTATGCCATTGCCCAGTACCTAATTACCAGATTAATCAAAAATTACTATTATAATTATAGTTTTTATCCCGAGATCTCTGGGTCGAATTGTTTGATTGTTTTTTAAAATTATAAAAAAATTGGTACTGTACACTACTGTATATATAAAATAATATATACTACAAAACACAGGCGTGCCTGTTCACATCAAAAAGGAGTCCTTTTACCTTGACCCCTACTTTCCGGAATGTGCCTCTGGAATACACTGACCGTCTGCAGTTGTTGGGCATGGACATTCGCCCCAATATGAACTACGGGCGGTTCATTGAGTCTAAGGCTAATGTCGCAGCGAGGAAAGTTGGCATACTAGCAAAGGTTCGACAGTATTTCACACCGGGACAGCTTCTTGTTTTATATAAAGCTCAAGTCCGGTCGTGTGTGGAATACTGTAGTCACATTTGGGCTGGTGCTGCGAAGTGCCATCTGTCAGCCTTAGACTCAATTGAGAGGCGTGCTCTCAGGCTTATTGGTGACCCTACGCTGGTAAAAGCTAACTTACAAAGCCTCGATCACCGACGTAGGGTTGCCAGCCTTTGTGTGTTCTATAGGTTACATTTCGGAGAGTGTGCGCAGGAACTACACAGCTTGATTCCTCCATCTCCTTTTGTTGTATTTATTGGTTAATAAATTATAAGTCTAGTCTCTTAAATCACTTTTATTATAATTCTTAAGATGTGAGCAATACAAAACAATTTTATAATTTTTTATCTTCCATAGAACCTCCATCTTTTATCATAGACCTCTAACAGTGTTACCACATCTCCCTCCTTTTACTTTAGTTCAAGATTAACAATTATAAAAAAAACTAAACAAATTCTTTAAATAGACATACATACAATTAAAAAAAACTCCTAAATACTAGTTTAACTATTAAAAATCATTCTTCCACTAATCTCCTAGGTTTAATAATTCTTCTTCCGTATCTAGACATAGCTTGAGGTAGAGCTGGGTTATAAGTTTCAGAGGTGATCTCAGAACTCTCTTGTGGAAGTTGAGCTGGAGCCAGTTGAGTCTCAGTATTCGATTCATTACTTTCAGTAGTGTTGTTTTCTAAAGTGGGATAACTATTTTGATCTCCATTAATAGCAAAAGGATTTCCCGATTTCCGTAGATGAACTGAATTTCTAACTAATGTTTGACCATCCTCAGTTCTTATTATGTAGGATCTAGGCGTATTGTTAGATTTAATAATCTGGGCTGGCTCCCATCTCCTTCCTCTTCTATGGACCACACTTTCACCCTCATTGAAACCTCTTCTCTGCTGTGAAGTTTTATCATAGTATAACTTAGACTTTTTCTGTTTAAGCTCTTTATCCTCCTTCACCCTAACAACATTTGGCATCAGATTTTCATCAATAGTTGGGAGGACTGTTCTTAGCTGTCTGCTCATCATTAGTTGGGCTGGGCTCTCTGACAATCCTGTAACTGGACAGTTTCTATACTCCATTAATCCTAAATTGAAATCTTGTCCAGATTTGTAACATTTTCTCATCAGGTTCTTGCAAATACCAACTGCTTTCTCCACCATTCCATTTGATTGTGGATAATGTGGGCTGGTGTTAGTTAATTTTATTTCCCATCCTTGACAAAATTTCTTGAACTCAAAGGATGAGAAAGGCATATTATCAGCCACAATTTCATTAGGTATACCATGTGTGGCAAATATTGGTTTAATACTCTTGATTGTTTCTGATGCTGTCTTATATGGCATCTTTACAACATCAAACCAAGCTGATAAATAATCCACAATTATTAGGTAAGAATAGTTTCCTAGTTGGAAGAAATCCATACCAACCCGTTGATAAGGTCTTGATGGAACTGGGTAAGGCAATAAAGGTTCCTTTATATTTTTATTCCTAAAAGTTTCACATATTTTACATTTTAATACATATTCTTCAATGTCTGAGTTTATTTGCGGCCAGTAAAATATTTGTCTTGCCCTTGCTTGTGTTTTGCTGACTCCTAAATGCGGACTATGAAGCTTCTCTAACATTTCTTTTCTCAAGGAAATAGGCACCAACAGCTTTCGGCCAACAAATACTAAGTTTCCACTAACATAAATTTCATCTTTAAATTTGTAATATATTTTTATTTCTTCAGGCACATCTTTACTATTGGCAGGCCAACCCTTCATATAGTACTGCACTAGGCGTTGTAATGTCTTATCCTTGGCAGTTTCTTCTTCGAGAATCTTTTTTCTTCTAGGTGTGACCTGCAATTGATAATTATTAGATGCTACTTCATGAACTATCTCACTAATCCAATCTTCTTCAGAACTGATGTTCTCTTCATTTTCACAACCTCTTGACAATAAATCAGCAATATATAATTCCTTGCCAGGCACATATCTCAATTCTAAGTCATATTTAATTAATTTAAGAATCATCCGCTGCAATCTTGGTGATGGTATTTCTCCAACATTCTTTTTAATTAGAGACACAAGAGGTTTGTGGTCTGTTCTGACAAAAGTTTTACGCCCATAGATGTATAAATGAAACTTAGATGTTGCAAAAAGAAGACTTAATAACTCCTTTTCAATTTGTGCAAAATTCTTTTCTGTTGGTGACAACGCCCTTGACGCATAGGATATAGGTTGTCCCTCCTGCATTAAACAGCAACCAATAGCGTCCTTAGATGCATCACATTCAATAGTAATTTCCTTAGATGTATCAAAATGTGTTAATACTGGAATTTTTGTAATTAACCCTTTTATATTTTTCAGAAGCATTGAATGAGCTTCTGTCCAAATAAATTCTACATTACATTTCAAAAGGGTACGCAAATTAGAAGTTAAGTCAGCAAAATTTGGAATAAAATTTCTTATGTAATTAAGCATGCCCAAAATTCTTTGTAATTCCTTCTTATTACAAGGGTTCTCTAAACTTTTAATAGCTTTTATTCTCTGAGGGTCAATTTTCATCCCATTTTTATCAAACTCAAATCCCAAAAATGTAACTTTATTAGTTTTATATTGAAATTTACTAGGATTAAATTTTAAATTACTTGACCTAGCCCTTTCTAAAACTTTATTTAGCACTTCATCATGTTCTTTTTCTGTCTCAGTTGCAATTAAAATGTCATCAAAATATATTATAAGTCCAGGAATATCTGAAAATATGGAAGTGTTTACTCTTTGGAACTCCTCAGGGGCGTTGGATAGGCCAAATGGGAGTCTGAGGAACTTATAGCACCCAAAAGGTGTTGAAAAGGCACAGTAGTTAGATGATTCTTTGTCCAGTTTAATATTATAGAAACCCTCCTTAAGATCAAGTAAAGAAAACCAAAATTTACCTGTTAACTGAGAAGTTACTTCTTGCAAGGTAGGTATTAACGCAGGTGTTTTAATGATGGCTTTGTTTAGATCAGTTGGGTCCAAACATACTCGAAGACCTCCATCCGATTTTTCAATTACTACAAGATTACTGAGCCATGTCACGGGACCATCCACTTTTTCAATAATTTTTCCTCTCTCCAAAAGGTTCAATTTTTC